GAAATGACCAGTATCGAGAAGCGCGATATGACGAAGGTAGAAAGGAGTGTTTGGTTTTGTCTGTGCAACGTCTTCTGCCGGCGCGTGTCATATGATAAAGAAACGCTTTTGTCAATACCTTTTCACAATTCTGATTACAGCATATGACATCATGATGTGGCGACTTTTGCTGCTCAAAGAAAACAAATGATGGTGAGCATGCAAGTTCAACGTTTTGCGTCGCTCGTACTTGTCGTTATGGCTTGCGATACCTCAATATTCGTCAACTTCTTATGTTTAAGAGCGACCAGCAATGTTTTACACCATGAAAACCTTCTCATTTATGTTCATATAGTCAAGCCGTGATCATCCGCGTTATTTTCGTACCACCCAATATGGTGTTTTTAAATGTTGTCTACTATAGTAGCAGACACCCGTGAAAGAGAATACCATCAATGTGTCAAGGAATACAAAATTCCAGCTGTTACAGCAGCATCCTTGGAGATCGAGGCGTGAGTAAGTATAGTAATTGTAATCGGGGACGTGTGACGAGTGCTGAGGTACAGACAAAGAAAAGACGGAATTATTTGGGGAAATAAACATTGCTGAAATTATAGTTCAAATGAAATTATTCCAAATTATTGTGAAAATGAAAAGTGCCCCAATAACTTACAAATAAACAAATGCGCCACAAGGCGGAAAACACATAATGATGTACCAAATTATTGGTAAATAGGTATCGACTGTGTGTGCTACATGTTTCAACATATATGTACATAGATGCTTGCCTAAGTACGACCTTGGTAAGAAAACGATGTTGTTGTCGTCTGTATGTTGCTGTTCAAAAGACAAATGAAGACATTAAAAACCAGTCAGTAACGTCACATTTTTCAAAACGCCGGCGATCGCATACACAAACCTTTTTAAATGTTGTCGATGACAAGAGCGCATCTGTATTGATGTGTGTTTATCTGTAAACACACCATGCATACCGAAAAAATCTTTTGGCATGTTTGCTAGAGCTACGAAGCACTACTTCTGGAAGGATGGTAGTCTTGGTAACTAAAACATTAGTAAACACTTGCATGACAACCTGCAAAAAACCAACACATATTTGGTAGTTCTCGATTAAGTACCTCTACTCTTGTTGATTGTCTATTCGTCGTCTAAGGCTGCGGTAGGTCGTAACTATAGCAATTAACACAGCATTAAGTACGCGCCATTCAAACACGGCGCTGTCTCATCTCATTTTTGCATCACGTTTTTTTCAGTTGGACATCTACATACTGATGCATTAGCACATCAAATAAAATCAATGAAAGGGCTTAAGCAACGTAGCTGACATGCCAAGCTACATGAGCATTTCAAGACTACGTTCGAATCGTCAAGACATCTTCTCCCTTTCGCGATTCGAGTGGTGACTAAAAATTTGGAAGGTTGTCGAGATGATAAAACATGAGAGGATGAAAGACATACGTACGAGCATGTGCATGATTTTAAATGGCGTACAGTCGGTCGTATAGTATACATTGATGGTGCATTATTGTCATATACAGAATATCCGGCGCTTTTTTACTTTTATTATCTTGTGGTGCATTTCCACTTTTATTATCGTGTGACGCATCGAAATTTTCCTTTGACTTATTTTAATCCACATGATTGAAGACGCCTTCTTGTCTTAAAATGCCTTTTTCACTTTTTACATACACACATGCGCACGAGCAGCTGTCCAAAGCAAAATAACATTGGGCCGTATATGACCTTATCAGGCATACAAACGATTGACAGGGTACGCTATTTGGGGAACTACTAGCAGCACCACTATCGCTACACTTACATCGACCAGCTCACCCCGTATTGCATGCTGATGACCGATTTTTCATGGGGTATAGATACGTCCAATCCGGCGGCACCTTTTTCCAATCAATGGTCATGCGGGATGCGTGTCATCTGCACATAGCCTCGATAGTGGACGTAAGAATCCGAATTCGGGTAATGTAATGGAGCGTTGCATGCATGATTGCAGAACTCCCTGAGCGTGACCCGATCTCGTATGGATCGCGTCGCAGGATAAAAAATGTTGTATCTGGTAATGCCACACATTGTGTGATAGTGCCACGATCCTTGACATCTGCAATATGATGAGTCTCTGTGGTTCCATCCCCGGCTGAACGAGTCTTTTGATGCAAGCAAATACATATAGGTCAATATGAAATGCATTTTTACTACCAGTAAAATAGTTCGTACTCCGTACGAGGACTTCAACTAGTTTTTTCATCGCCAAATGATATTACTATGGTGCTTCGGCTGTACATTTATCGAGTTGACGTTGAAGTTGTGATTGAAACCATTGAGGGGACATGCCCGTCAGATGGGCTCGTCTCACACCCTACAAATTACCTTAGATAATTCCTGATGTCTTTACCAGTTCCAGTCTGTTTGTTCGGTATCGTTACACGAAGTACCCGTTTTCGCGCGCATATTCCTCGTCGCTAACACTGGTCGTGCTGAATGTCAACGTCATTAATTTAGCGTGAGCTCTCGATCGTTTGCAGTATGGAAATTTCCGACGTTGGAAAGGTTAAACAATGCTGTGTGTGCAGAACCGCTCAGCGCCATTTTGTAAAATGCAGAAATTACACAACAAAAGCATGCAAGTTCCACATCGAATGTGTAACGGGGTGGCCCGTTACATGAAATTACCTCTTGTGACAAATGGTAATAAAGAATGAAATGTTGAATGCTCTTTTAAAAATATCACCAAAAGCAGTGATATTGTTGAGATGACCCAAATGTCTACTCATTATTTGATATCGTGATTTTACCAACCCACCAATGTCTGCTCGACGCGCGCAGTGGGTGGTGAGTAGACGTCATCATTTGTTTAGTTATATTAATTTAATAAAGTCAGGTCAAACAGAGAAACAAGAGTTATGGAAGATAATTGGATTAACTAACAGTTTTACTATTTCTACAACTAGAGTCTTGCTTAGGTGTTTTATCCTCCCCCTGTGTATTGCTTTCACCTAGCGGGCACTGACCTTCACTGCTGTCAGTAGAAGGTAACTCCGTACTGATCTTCTGGTACGAAGCAAGCAGTGCCCCGTTACAGAATGCGCATGAAGGTTGGACACGTATGACGGACACTTCGTCTTGCTTCGTTAGACAAGATGCGTTTTACACGTCTTTTTGTCTCTGCTTTGACCATGCGCTCTTGACAAACTATGCGCATGCGCGACCTTTGTACCTCTTTTGGACGGGAAGACGTGTGTCTTTCACTGCATCGAGAGCAGTCCATGATGTGACTGAAAGATGCATACGCGACGTTAAGTGATAGCGCAGGACGCATCGGGGAGTATTGCAACATTCTGCAGCGCTTTCGTAATGATACATAGAACCATTTATGGTGAGTGGAATGAGTTGTACATGTGGACGGGGCACTATTGTATAACGAGACAGACACATGGTCTGACGCAACGTACGTCCACCAAACCATCACGTGGATGTATGTCATTTGAGACAGAGCTGTGATCCGCAATAACGATTGCTTCTGGTTGATCGACAAGGGTTGGAGGTATGGCACAAGGATAGAAACGTTTCGTGTAGAACAGAACCTAACAAACACATGAGAAAGACTCAAAGGCGACATGCAAGACATGCGAACCATGACCTTGAATGTATGCATCATTCGGCAGAGATCAACAAACACCAGCATCTATTCAATATGGAGCGACGCAGCCAACTACATAAAAAGAGGCTGAGGGCTAAAGAAACAGACAGGGAATGTGAGGTGGCGACCGCCATGGGAGGTAAAACATACGGGTGACAGCACGAGGAGATTATGGACGCGCTGAAGCTAAACCTTACCGTGCAAAAAAACTCAGGAGGTGCTGAACAACTCACCAAACATGCGCTATCAGTAGATGCGGGTTGCCCGGACTTCCATGGACTGGCATAAAGAACGCACCTCGATGGCGATATCGCGTGCGTGTACGTGGTGAAAAGTAGATCTTTCGTAATTTTTCAAATGAGAGACATCTCACGTCGATGGCACAAATGGCTCTAGTGTTATTATATTGATCGGCAACAAGAAAGCAGATTCACCACGCCGGTCGCCTGGCTGCAAATGACTGTTTGCACGCGGTGCCTTCAATGCGAGGGGGGTGGTAGTGCAATGAAATCGGTGCCCTTAGGGATACGCAGACGATAACATCGGCATGCTAGCGGACTGCTTCTTCTCCTTCTTTCATGTAAACTACGACATTGAGCTCGAGTTCATCAGGACAATGCATCCACTCATCGTGCCACAAGCTCGAGAGATTTTTCTTTGGTACGAAAGAGTCGATGTGATATGTAGACCTGCCAAGCCTCTAGGCTTAGCAAGCCTTCTCGATACGGCGAGACCACTTTCGAGGACTTGTGGTTATCCTGACGAAGAGGTTATTCGTGCATCAGAGAAGCAGTCCCATCCGAATTCGAGTGTGTTGTAACGCTGGAGAAGCTTGTCCTGTGATTCAGCATCTGGGCGTGCGATTGTGCGAAAATACGCTGAATTGAAGTGTTTGCAGGCGATTATGTGCAGTTAGGGGATGTACGAGTTTACCGAATCATTTGAAAGGCGTTTCGGTCTTTTTATTGCTATGCTGAATTCGGCTGCACGGAATCAATTGATTACGCACGCCCACGTGCTCATTTTGCTTATTTGTATCTTTTTCCACCAGTAACGGATTGTTTTAGACGCAATATAAGAATAGCCTCAATTTGTCAACATGGTAAAAAAGAGGAAAGAAAAAACGGTGCTTTATTTCGGTAAAAAAAAGCTGTTGATGTTCTTACCCACTGATTTCCGCGTGGGCTGTACTAGTAAGAAAATGTCCAACAACCAAATTACCCTCCTTCATCCGATAAAAACCTCAGCGGACGACCGGCCCAAACTACCATATTTTTCATCTGAATATAATGGATGTGGTGCACTAGCTCTGACGAATGAATACATGCGACCGTTGACAACGAGCGAAGGATCAGCTACATGCGGGCGACGACATCGATGGGTCGCTGTCACTGCTGACAAAAGTCAACGACTTGAGCAACTGCTCCATTCCGTCCATTGCGTGTTCGATCGCTTCCATCGAGCTCGCGTACGAAATGCGCATGCCGAACTCGTCGCCAAACTCCGAACCAGGCACAACGGCAATATGCGAATGTTGCAACAAGTGCGCACAGAAGTCATCGACGCTCGCCAGGGACACACGCTCGTTCGCAATGACGACCTTCTTGCCCTGGAAGTAAGACGACAAGTCCAAGAATACATAGAACGCTGATGTCGGGTAGGCGAAGCGCACGTTAGGCATGGCAGTCAGTCGCTTGACGATGTAGTGGCGCTTCACATCCAGATTCTTCATCACCGCTGCAATGCGACGCTCACCCTTCTCCATACACTCCAGCTCCTTTTTGAGTGCCTCGACAGCAGCCACCTGGCCCACAGTATTTGGACACGACGTTAGCTGGGCCTGCAGCAGTGTACAAGGATCGATATAATGCTTGGGTGCCGCGAGGTAGCCGACACGTAAGCCGGTCATGGCATGCGCCTTTGAGAACCCGTTCACCAACAGCGTCCTCTCGTACATACCCGGCAGAGCGGCGAAGCTCACATGTTTTCGCTCTATCACGCCTTCGTCTTGGTACAACAACTGCTCGTAGATCTTGTAACGGGGCAGCCCGTTACATGATATTGTCACTTAAGGAAAGTGACAATAAAGAATATAAGATGGATATTCTTTAAACAATATCACCAAAGTGGTGATATTGAAGGGTCGACCAAAGGGTCTGTTCATTGGTTGATATCGTGATGATATCAACCCACCAATCGCCGCAAGACGCGCGCAATGAGTGGTGACGAGACGTCACCATACATGCAGTTATATTAGTATAATTGAATTAAGTCAAACGAAGAGACAGTAGTTTAAAGACTTAATTTATTAATATAACAGTTCTACTTTTACCCTACCTACGCTTCCTCGCTCGCCACGTGTACGTCCGTCGGGGCACCCAAATCCCTTGCGTTAAGTTACGCAAGGGTGTGCCCCGTTACACCTGGTAGCACTTTGTAGTCCTTCCAAGGACCACATCATCCAACATGAACATGTTGGATGAAGAAGACACCTTTCACGCCACGCGTGAAGGGTTTACCCATTTGAGTGACATCGAATGGGGTGCGGTAGAACGAATGAGTTCTACCGTAGGCGAACTCGTCGTCAGCACCATGTTGGAGTCTCTAGACAGAGACCAACAACATGCTGCTATCGTTAAGTTCATTCACAATGAACTTGCTCTCGAGAGGGAGAAAGTAGCCTTGCTTCACCAGCAAGGCTCTCAACAGGCCGAGCAGTTGAGAGAACTCGGTGCTCAACAGACGGATCTGTTGAGACAGCAGCAATTCCATGCTGCTGTGGGCGGGACGGCGCATGCGCGTCGTCCCGAAGTCATGAAAGTTGACATCTCCAAGTACAGTGGAGTCCCGGAGGACTCCCTGTTACTATGGTTTGTCGAACTCGACAGAGCCCTAAGGGCTCGTCGCGTCGAAGATGAGCAAATGAAACTCACATTTGCTCAGACCCACTTGGCAGGGCGTGCCAAAACTTGGTCCCTGGGACTCGAGAGTAGCGACCCAAATGTGTTTAGGTCGCTAGATGACTTCAAGTCCCGGCTCAGACAAACGTTTGAGCCGCCACGTGCTGAGTTCAGGGCTCGTTCAGAGCTCCTGAAACTCAAGCAGGGTAAGCGTGATGTGCACGCTTACGCACAACATATACGACTCCTTGCGAGTAGTATAACTGCAAACCCAGTTCATGAGCACACGTTGATTACGGTGTTCATGCAAGGGCTCGCAGAAGGGCCCGTCAGGAGCCACCTGTTCCGCCTTGAGCTGAATACGCTTGAAGAAGCGATATCAGCCGCGGAACAGGAAGACTTTAGCATGAGACAGGCTCATGCTAGCTCAAACTCTTACCGTCCACCGAGACGACAAGAGATCGGAGGTCCAGAACCAATGGACCTCTGTTATGTTGAGAGCGAGAGACCTCGCTCTACAAGCAACAAGCGATTGCAGAGGTGCAATCGCTGTCAGAAGTTAGGGCACTACGCATACGAGTGTAGTGCTCCGCGCCCAGTACCAAACAGTACTGAGCGAAATGGACGACCATTCGCCAGAAAGGGCAATGGGCGTGGGTCCAGCGCTGTTGCGAAGCCGCAACAGCGAGACGGGCCATCAAAAAATGGTCGGGGTCAGTAGGGGCGGAGCGCCCTACTGATCCAGCAACCTCAAGAGAATTTGCAAACCTCTTGACGAAAGTTGCTCCAGATACACAATCATTGTGTGTCTCTGCACCTGGTGATGACGTTTCGCTCATCACCTTGAAGTTGGAAGCGACAAATGACTTGTCGCTTCGTGCCCTAGTAGACTGTGGGGCGTCGAACAACTTTGTTCGTCGCCAGTCACTAGAGGGTCGTAGGCTCAAGTTCGTTGAGCGCGACATTCCCCTCACAAGGATGACGGTGCGCCTTGCAACAGGCGCATCGATAACCGTTGAGAAACGTGTAGTAGGAATCCACTACACGTTAGAGGGCGAACAGTACGATGATGACTTCATCGTACTAGATCTGGATGACAAATTTGATGTCATCCTGGGATTACCTTGGCTCAGAAAATACGAGCCAAGGGTGAGCTGGCAGCATCGATCCGTGAAGATGCCTGCTGCTTGTTCATCAGATGGCCATCTGATGAACATCTTGGAGCGTCCACAAGCGTGTGGATGTTCTGCGAGTGAGTGCGATGGCCTCACTTGCGGTACAGTCGTTAGCACGACTGCACAAGGTCACAGTGTAGTTGATCACTACACTGTGGAGCAAGCTCCCGGCGGCTGTACAGAAGTACAGGCTGCGCCGAAGGTCCACCACTCGAATAAGTCGAGTGGACCGGGACATGGATGCATGCCTAGCGGGCAGCATCTTAGAAGAAAGAAATCTGTTGCCCCCAAGGGGCAACATGAAAATCCTAGGTCGACTGGAGAGTCGACCGTAGAGGATCGGTTCCTGACTGTGGTTGCACAGCCACAGTCGGAAGACGTCGAGGGAATAAGTCCCCACGTACTTGAGGAAGGAGTTCCTCAAGAGTTGCTTGCTGAGGGATCAGGCCCTCAGCAACCTGTGGAAGCAAGATCCCAGGAAGAAACCGAGACGTTGAACGTCTTGGTTAATGACGGATCAAGCGTAGGCGCTTATACGCTTGATCTGATTGTGCCTCCGAAGTTGACTTCGGAGATAACTCAGTTGCCAACGCAAGAACCGAAACGGTTCTTGCGTGATCTGCGTAGTGGCAAAGTCAAGCAGATCTGCGTACTCGTCACAGAGGACGAGTATGTGACCGACATTCGGTCGGCAACAGTATTTGCTGAGAACGAACGGGTTCTCAGCAGCTCATCGATGGACGAAATTGTCCTCGATGAGAAGACTCGGATTGAGCGATACGCGTCCCAATCCTGGGAGTCACTTCAGGCAAATCCTTTGTATAAGGATTTGATCGAATTCAGGGATGTGTTCCCTGAATCCGTACCTTGCGAGTTGCCTAAGGACAAAGGCACTCGACACGAGATCGAGCTCAAACCGGGCTCGAAATACTGTGTCATGAAGCAGTGGCCACTGCCTCGTGAACAAGTGATAGCGATCGACAAGTTCTTTGCCGATCGCTTAGCAGCGGGCCATGTGAGGGAATCAACATCCCCTCACAGCTCTCCGACCTTCTGTGTGCGAAAGGCCACAGGAGGGTGGCGGATAGTGCACGCATTCAACAAGTTGAATGCTGCAACGGTACCGGCTCAGACGCCGATACCGAGGAAGGACGTAATCATAGATGGTATGTCAAAGAGTACCATCTTTTCGTCCATGGATCTGATGGATGGATTCTATCAGATCCTGATGCGTGAACGGGACGTCCCGTTCACAGCAGTGAGTACCCCCAGCGGGATGCTGTGGGAGTGGCTAGTGATGCCACAGGGGCTGAGTAATGCCCCTGCAACATTCAACAGATGTGTAACAAATCTGTTGAGACCGGTGCGAGACTTCGCACCGAGTTACTTCGACGATGTGTTCGTCCATAGCCGGGCTATGGACGGGAAGACGGACGTTGAAGTTCACAGAACTCACGTTCGTCAGGTTCTTCAACTTATGCGCAAGCATAAGTTGTACGCCAACCTCAAGAAGTGTATATTCGCGGCTAGCGAAATACCACTTCTTGGGTGCATCGTGGGGAAACACGGCGTACGCCCTGATCCCGAAAAGATCAAGGCGATCACCGACTGGCCAGTGCCAGTCGATGTCAAGGGACTTCGAAAGTTCCTTGGTCTTGCGGCGTACTTGCACAAGTACTCGCGCAACTACGCCGAGATGACGGTACATCTTTCTTGCTTGCTCAAGAAAAATGTCAAGTGGTCATGGAACGCTGAGTGCCAGCGTTCCTTTGAAGGTATCAAGCAAAGCTTGATGCAATCGCCGATCTTGGCGATTGCAGATCAGGACAGACCATTTCATGTGGTCTGTGACGCCAGCGATTTCGCAATCGGCTGTGCGTTAATGCAGTTCGATGCAGATGGCGCGGAGCGCGTCATCTGTTATCAATCGCGTCAGCTGCAAGCAGCTGAGCGTAATTACCCAGTGCATGACAAGGAACTCCTTGCCATGAAATACGCACTGGCTAAATTTCGCGTCTATCTCTTGGGAGATAGACCGTTTGTTGTCTACACGGACCATGCGTCATTACGCACGGCCGTAAACAGCCCACACCTCTCGCAAAGAATGGCGAGGTGGCTGTCTTTCTTCGCGGAGTATAACTTCTCCGTGGAGTATAAACCGGGACGACTCAATGTCGTCGCGGATGCTCTTTCGCGCCGGCCCGATTTCGAGCCGGACGCGCAATCCAACAGTGAGGACAAGCCCACTGTTGCGACACTGTCAGTCAGTGTCCCGTCGTCAAGTTTACTTGACGACGTACGAAAGGCATACGCGGAAGATAAGGATCTTCTGCGATTGATGGATCATCTGGTGAATCCATCCAGTAAATCCATGAGGGATTTACCGGCTTTGTACCGATCCTCATCGGATCGGTATAGTACACGCAACGGATTGCTGTACTATACAGCTGTTGCCGACGACACGCCTCGTGTCGTCGTACCCGCTCATCATGATTTGCGATTGCGCATCATGTATGAGTGTCACGATGCCCCAACAAGCGGCCATCGTGGTAGAGAAAAGACTTACCTCACGGTAAGTCGCGACTTTTACTGGCCCCGCCAGTATCAGTTTGTTCGCAAGTACATCCGTGCTTGCGAAGTATGTCAACGGGTGAAGCCTAGTCCTTCATCCCGTGCGCCATTGCAGCCTCTGCCTGTTCCGACAGAGTGCTGGCAGTCCGTTCCAATGGACTTCATCTTCGGGTTTCCCGAAGACGCTCACAAGAATAATGGTATTCTTGTGTTTGTTGACCGATTCATCAAGATGGTCCATCTTGCTGCTGTCCCTGAGTCAATCAAGGCTCAATGTTGTACTCGTGTCTTTCTAGACGGTCTTTAGACTCCATGGGTCACCCCGTGAACTCGTATCCGACCGTGACCCTCGGTTCACGGCGGAATTTTGGCAAACCGTGTTCCGTACTCTCGGAACACGATTGAAGATGTCCACTTCTGACCATCCAGAAACAGATGGTCAGACGGAACGTGCGAACCGTGTCCTCGAAGAGATTCTTCGAGGATATGTCCACTCGTTTCCGAGTTGGAGCGAATTCCTACCCATGGTGGAATTCGCCATCAATAATTCGGTGCATGCTTCAACACAGCACACACCGTTTTACGTGAATGGCCTACGCCATCCACGTGTGCCCACCCTTCTAGAGTGTGACTCTTGGATAAGGGGGAGGAACTCGCTCGAGCAAAAACCGTTTTGGCTCTTGCTCATCACGTGTCGACGCAAACGTCGTCACGTATGATGCCGATGTCGATCAAGTCGACATCGATGAAGAAGATCATCTCAATAATAGCGAAGACGCTATTATTGATTCGGATGATGATGACGATGCTGGTATATTCAGCATCGCCAACGATTATGCCAGCGAGGAAGAAGACAACCTCGCTGAAGAAGAGAGCAATCTCTTAGCAGTGCGCACGAAGCGCACTGCTAGACAAAACAAAGAGTCAGCAGAGAACTTCCTGCTGACTCGAGAAGCGGTAGTCCGTTTCGTTCAGGACTCCATCGCAAATGCGGTGGACCGTCAGAAACGGAACGCAGACAAGAATGGAAGAGCAAATGTTCTATCATTTAAGGTTAATGACCTAGTACTACTGTCAACGGTAAACCTACCTGGACATGCAGTCACTAGTGTCGGCAGTAGTAAATTACTGCCGAAATACATTGGGCCATTTCGAGTGTTGCATCGCAAGGGCAATGCATACACACTCGAATTGCCACGTAGGATGCGCACGCATCCTACGTTTTACGTGGGGAGGCTTAGGTCGTACTGTCAGTACGAGCCTTCTTCTTCCGATGAAGATAGCCCCCACGTTCAAGAACATCCATCAAGTTCTTGCGTTCGCGCTCCAGACGATCCGTCTGGTCGCGCGGATATGATACCTCGGTATTCAACCGAGTTATCTCTCCGCGAGCTGTCGCCAGCTCGCCGAAAAGGGAGCGGACATCCCGCTCGACCTGAAGCTGCGCCGTGGCATAATCGGCGCGATCCCTCGCCCGATCAGCCTCGTGACCCTTGCGATTCTTCCGCACGGTGTCGGTCAAAGCGTAGCGTCGGTCGCGCTCGTGCTTCAAGTCATCGCGCAATTCATCGATTGCGCGATCCATCTCGTAAGGGTCGAGATGGTGGGCCTGGGGTTCTGGAGGAGGTCTTTCCTCCTCCACCTCATACTTTGGTGGATGCTCACGGTGATCAACGCTTTCTAGTGGAGCGTATCTTGAATCACCGTGACGATTCAGGATCAAGGACGAGCTACCTCGTCCAGTGGCGGGGGTATCCACCCTCTTGGAACAGCTGGGAGCCCCGCTCTCAGCTGTTAATGGATGTTGAAGGTCTCGTCCACCAGTATGACGAGACCCATCCGATGAGTCCTGTGGCCCATCGGTAAACACGCGCCCTAGGCGCTTGTAGACGGATTGCAAGTTTGCAATCGCGTCACGCATCTCGTCCGAGAGATGTGCCCTTCCCCAGGGCGAATTTAGGGAGTACACATCCCTATGTGCACGCTGCGAGTTGTCAACACAACTCGCACAAGGGTCTCCCCATGTGAGGCAAGGAATGCCTGCCTCACTCGATAAACAATGCAACCGGTACCTAGCACCGGTTGGCGTTCGCCGTTCGAACCTGAGGCGTGTTGCCTCAAGTTTCTTGAGCCACCCTTCTCGTCCAAAATTCTTTACGTTTTGGACGAACGCGTTCCACGCAGCCAAAAGCGATGTTTCGTCACGCTTTTGGTTGCTATTGTACCATCGATGTCTAAGGAAGACATCGAGATAAAAGTCTTCTTCAGCGCGAAAGTTCTTCGCGCTGGGATCCAAGCCGTGAAGCTCAGTCGCATCGAATAAGGGTATTCGATGGTGTTGGCCTGTCTCGTGAGACAGGCTATTGATGAGTTGTTCGGGCAAACGCCACGGCTTCAACTCATCACGCTTCACAGTGGTACCCTTGTCGGTACCACGGCTCCCAGATTGACGACGGCTCGCGCCATCGTCATCACGCTCGTGCGAAGACGCACGAGCCGGCGGTGGTGAAGAATAGAACTCACCACCCTGATCATCGTCATCACTGCCGAACAGACTGTGATGCGAATCACGAGTCCGTTCGTTCGGCAGTGGCCTTGGCGAATACTGAGGCGTCGCCGGTGAGCGAGACGCCTCTGGAGCATTGCCCGAGTCAGACACGTCTGACTCGCCAGAGTAGATGACCTCCACATCGGGGTCATCGTGCGCACGCGGCGTGATACCGCGTGCACCTGCAGCACCTGTTGCTGCAGGCGAAGAAGGGGCGGCAGACGACGAAGCGTCTGCCGCAGAGGCTTGCACAGCACCAGGCTGTGTGGGTCTTGAGTCACCTCGCATAGACATGTTAACTATGCGAGGTCAAGCGGAAAGTGAGTGGAACGGACCAAACAAGTGCTCCCTGTCCCAATGGTGGCCAACGGGTGGCCTCCATATTTCGATAGTCACACGGTGACTATCAGTTAAGGGGGGGTGATGTAACGGGGCAGCCCGTTACATGATATTGTCACTTAAGGAAAGTGACAATAAAGAATATAAGATGGATATTCTTTAAACAATATCACCAAAGTGGTGATATTGAAGGGTCGACCAAAGGGGTCTGTTCATTGGTTGATATCGTGATGATATCAACCCACCAATCGCCGCAAGACGCGCGCAATGAGTGGTGACGAGACGTCACCATACATGCAGTTATATTAGTATAATTGAATTAAGTCAAACGAAGAGACAGTAGTTTAAAGACTTAATTCATTAATATAACAGTTCTACTTTTACCCTACCTACGCTTCCTCGCTCGCCACGTGTACGTCCGTCGGGGCACCCAAATCCCTTGCGTTAAGTTACGCAAGGGTGTGCCCCGTTACAGATCTCGTCCGACACCACGACGATATGACGGAACTGAGGCTTGCGCAATACAGCCGCGATTCTCTCCAAATGCTATGGGCTGTGCAACTTGCCCGACGGGTTGCTTGGGTTGCATAGGATGATGGCCTTGGCATCCGGGTGCGCCATCAGCGTCTTTTCCAGCTCTGCCGGGTTGATCAAATAGTCATCCTCGAGCAGCGTGCGTAACGGAATGGGCTCTGCGTACACTAGCTTAACGATCTCCGGGTAATTGAGCCAGTACGGTGTCGGGATGATCACCTTTTGACCGGGTAAGCAAACGGTATACAGAGCCTGAAACACCGACTGCTGCGCGCCGTTCGATACCAGCACCTCCGTGGCCGGATCATACTTCAGACCCTTGGCCTTCTCTAAGTACGTCGAGATGAGACCGCGAAGCTCCACGAGACCTTTCATGTGCGAGTACTTGACGTTGCCCTCGATCAAGGCCTTGGCACCAGCAGCTAGCACGTGCTCATGCGGATTATTGTCAGGCTCACCCACGCATAGCGACCACACCTTCTTGCCGTCGGCCTCCATCTGCTTGGTCTGGCCATGGATCAACATTGTCTTGGCAACCGTCATCTTCTGGAACACAGGGTTCAACGGGTACTTGGTGTCCATGGTGCGAATGGTGCCAGTCCCAATGCGGGTGCTCCCAAGCGACAGTTCCGCCAACTTTATGGCCTTCTCACCCCGCGACGTCCCATAGGACCCCAGGATGCGCACGAACGAGCAGATTTCTTGCAGCCGCCGAATCGCAGCGGCCATGTTTGCACCCGTGAGATGGCCCTGCAAATCCACGTAGAAGAGGTACTCGTATTTGCACGAGTCCGCGACGATCTCACTGCGATATGGCTGAGGAGCCTGGTCGGCCCATGGACGACTGTCGATTCTAATCAGCTCAAGTTCGTACCGTAGGAAGACCTCGAGCGCACGGTTCAGCATGCCCTTGTCCGAGCTGTTCTTGAACCCAAACACGACAGACGTCTTAAAATCGCCGTTGTCACTCTTCGCGTTCCACGCCAAGTCCCCTCTCTTGGAAAGCAGCAGGAACTGCGTATACGAGGCAACGTCGACCCCGTGCACCAAAGCCAACCCCGCCTTCGGCAGGTCGTACTCGGCAATCACATACAGGTTGTGCTTGAGCAGCAAATCGTAATTCGCGTTTATGCTGCCGAGCGCGGACGTCTCGACGGGCACCACGGCGAAGTCGACCTCTTCGTTCTTGACGGCAATGCACGCGTCCTCAGCGCACTTGTAGACGACACCCGAAGCCGTTTGGTCCTCGAAGTGGCGCGCGACTCGCTCGACTCTGCCGCCTGCGTACGCGATCTTGAGTTCTACTCCCATAACTGTGAAGCAGCGGTTCTGGACGTCAAACTTACTTGCTGCAGACGCAACGAAAATGAAAATGAGCGTGAGACGGACACAAGGTTGCAGCACTCGCGTGGATGGACAAGGTGCGTGGAATGGAACAACTTTGCAACACGTGGGCAAGCAGGCTAACGTCCCGTGTGGAACGACGACCAGTTCGTCGGTCGTCAAGAAAGCTGGTCGCGTGGAAGATATAACCTCGTTTTTTGTTACACCAGCGCCATCAGCAATTTCACAACCCTTACACCCAGCAAGCATCCCGTCGTCCACCTGCGTGGCGAAGCGCGAGCACTTGCGAAATTTCAGCGCCGCAGTAGGTAACGATGTTCTGGGAAACCGCATGCAGAGAGTCCATAACGTTGCCTCTCCAGTATAACGTGACAAAATCAACCCTAAAGTTGCCTGGTTGAACTTGGGGAAAGGAATAAACGTAGATTCGCGGTGTTCGGGACCGATGCAGGTGGCATTGCTCGACGAATACAAGCTGCTTCGTGTATTTGGATCGAGTCCATAACGTTGCCTGGTTGGCATCAAAAATGCTGACTCGCGATATTCGGGACCGATGCCGGTGGCATTGTTCTACGAATACAACCTGCTTGGTCTACCTGGATCGCTTTGTGCTCGCACCATGCAAGTCATGTTTGTTCACACGCTGTTCCTACCATAGCTCGACAAACTTGATCGGTCAGCCCTAGTTTGTCTTCCTACCGCTGGACGCAAACCGATCGTCCCTACTTATTGCTCGGCCTGAAACGGTGGCAAGGGACGCTGAAAATAGAACACGTACAATCTGCCCGCCATCCAAGCGCGTCTGCAATGTGTATCCAATTATTCTTGAACCACTTGTTAGGGAACCCCGCTCGACTTTTGATGAGTCTCCGGATTGTGTTGATGCGTCTCGGACTTCGTTGTTGTGGCGAGGCGGTTCACTTTTCGTATCATCGCTTTGCTTCAAATTTTTGGGACGGCGACTGGAAAGGTGCTATCGACTGCTGAAAGATTGACGCGTATGTGTTCTATTGCCATGCATTTCCAGTTCATCGGATGCTTACGCAATCTGACGGATGACCTCGTTTGCCGACTAAGAAATTAGGTGGTCGCAAACGATCCGCATCGTGCTTTTTTTATCTGGAGGTCCATGGGCCTCTTGGCAGATGGTGCCGAAAACGAGCCTTTCGGCAGATGGTACGAAGTCGCGCAGGTACTATGTCACGAAGTACTCTCTCTGCATGAATTCGTTCCGTTCGGGTCCCCTGCGACACATGCACCAAAGAAAAGGCCGAGTGGCACAAAGTGATACGCCCGCGCGAATCTGCTGATGAGAGAGAACGCGCGAATCTGCCGATGAGCGAGGGTCGGACTGTCTATTGGAATTTTTTGACTATTCAATGATGTCTGTGTGAAATTTTGCCTCGATCTTCTGCCATGACTACATCGTTCTCCGCGCCGGCTCATTCCGCTGACTCGAGACGTCGGGCTTCACGGGGAGGCACTACGCATAACGCACGTGTATCCGCTGACTCAGTCCCGGGTGCATGTAGGGGCAGAGGATGCCAGAAAGGTGCGTCCAAGTACCACTTCGGACAGGCTCCAATAGGCCATCTTGACGTGTCCCTTATATGCATTGCTGGTACTGGATCGAGCAGACATCATCACGTTCTAGGCGAGTTCTCTTCGTGGGACCGAAATTCGCGCTCGGCAACGGGTCGACGACTTGAAGGCGGACGTAGAAGAGCGGGACTTGCTTGAGGCTTAGGTGCAGGGTGTTCGACACTCCGTCTTGTGCCCACACCGCAAGATGTCGCGCCTTTACTCCCCTCCCGGGTCGTACGTTACGCTGCCTCGCGTAGCAAACACAGCGGCAAAAGTCTCTTCCTTTGCCCTCGGCCCCATATAGAGGTCCTTCCGCCCACAGAAAAGGGCCGGTGACCGGCCTGCGTAATGAAATCTTGTTGGTTTACCTTGTGTACCGCCCGTTTAAGCTGACGCTGGATCTTGTGAGTAAGGGTCCCGCTTGGGTCGCGGGGGATAGTATGGATGATCGTCGCGAGGAAATCTTTGCGCAACGGTACGATTTCGGAAAGCAATATGGTACTTCAACCGCTGGGAAGATCGCTCGAAAGATCCTGTATCATCCCGATATCGATCTTGTAATGACTTGATTTGTCCTGCAGATACCTAATGCCCCACATGATCCAGTCATTTAAGCAGTTGAAACAATTTCTGAGCACACGAGCCGTCGTACATCTTGTATAAAGACCAATCCGGTGCTTACTGCATCCAGTCGCAAACAACTCGGTGCTGAAAAGTTCAGATATAATCAACTTGTACCCTTCGATAATTGTACTTCTATCGTATGAAAATATTGCATCCATACATACGAAAGATGTACAATTGTCTGAGGGTACCACTTTCTCTTATCAATTTAAAATGACGGGAAAAAGTTCAAGAATTCACAACAAATCTAATTAGAGAGGGAAGAAAGGATGTATTGTAATTGTTTAGCAACAAAGCCAAGTAAATATGAGCGTATGCTATTCATAATTTTCTACTTTTTGCTTTGCGTTTTTGTCTCTTTCCTTTTGTGGCGCACCATTATTTTTATCATTCGGTATACATATCTGACCTTGAGGTGTATTTTGCATTACGGGTTCATGCACTTAACTATATCAAATTTAGACAAAATTCGCTGTATTTCCATTGTCCATATCATGTTCTGGGATCACTCCTTTACAATTATCGCACAGATAGTCAGTATTTGGTTTTTTTATCATCCATGGTGCAATAACATTTAGCTTTTACTTCACGCATTCAGCCAAAATCTAACGTTGATGGATTCGTACCTGAACACGCATATAGGCTGGGATGGTGCAAAACAATGTATCATCAATTAAAGTTTTGCACTCAAAAAACTACACTTTTAAACCTGTGTATTTGGATTATTTTTTATGAGTTCGATTACTTCTAGATAGCCAAAATGTTGTCATGGTCGATTCGATGTCGGCAAATACACATTTCTACGAATAATCTGACCATGAGTGGCCAATCTAATATTAAACGAATTCTGCTGCCAAAAGCACGCGTTGTATATGACGTCCATCGTTTATATCACATCAGGGCTATTTAATTACGTTATAGATATTCTTTAATGTTTACTATTTATGATTGCTGATCGATCTTGTCATCCTGATCTTATAAATTCAATTGATACTTAATTATAATCACTTCTATCTACGTGCATCAGTGATATATTCCACCATCAACTTGCAACAAACCTTGCCATCAATCCAACGACACCGTACCTCGCCATCAATACGACCATTAAGGTGACTTGTTCTCGTCAATTCTCATACCTTGATAAAGGTCCTGGGTCGAAATTTTTCTAGATAGTGACCTTATTGGGCATACCTTTTCCAGGTTTGTATAGTCGCACCCAGCAGATTTGTCATGCTACATTCAGCGAAGAGCTTTATTTGTTTCTTGCTTTGTCATCAATTCCTAAATAAATCTATCAAATTTCTAATTTTTTACTACTAGTCGTACATAGGAAGAAGCGTGACCAGGAAGAGGCATGAACGATTGTAATGTCAAAACGACTTTCAGTCAGCATAAACCACAGCTCGGGTGTTAATTCATTATATGACAGCTTCATCCCCTCCTCTTTAATGTTCTGTATACACTTGTTGAAGTGCCATCTTACAAAAGATGTTCACAAGTTCCGCGTCCCGGGTTGGGCTCGTTACATTTCATGGATATCAAATTATGCCAATGGGAATACTTTTAAACTAGAAATATTCTATAATAGTTACCTTTTTAAGTACACATTAAAGGACTATTACATTCGAAGGCAATATGTAGCTCCGATTCACCCATCGGTTGATATACGACATGTAATTACCCGTCTGAACCTCCAATTGCCACTAGACGCCCGCAGCGTGTGGTAAGCGAGTTCCTACACTCGTAGTTTGTATTCAATCTAGTCGAAGGGATGAAACAAGTGTTTTAAGAGGAGTTTTAAATACAATAAACACATATTAAACCTTTCTTTTCTCCAACCGTTGCTTCAAAGACACTTGTCTCAAGTCATAAGCTAACCGTTTACGTTAGATTTGGTACCACCTGCCAACACTTCGCTCAGCATAAGTACTTTGTACTGTGTGTCAGTAAAAACGGAAGGTGCCCCGTTACAATCCATCTCGAGCATCATTTTATTAGGTTTGGCTCAAATGATCGTCCGCTAGATCGTCTGGAATTATTTTTGACCTCGGAGCAATTTTTACTTAGTATTAGTGTTTGAACTCAAGTACGCCATCGTGTCAAACCACGCAAACCTTTCACATAAGTCCTCTTTGCTCACCTGTATACATCGAACATCCCCGCAATATTTGGACTTGCATAAGTATAGAGTCTGCAAATTGAGACGGGGCCCACCTATAAGCCTGATACGGATAACTGCTACGAACAGTTGGATCCTCTTTGTGGAAGACATAAAGTTGGCAATGGATTCTCCCCCTCCCCCGATGGAGTGTTGCAGTTGAGCAGAATGGCTATTGTATAGGAATATGGTATTTTTGGACAAAGCATAATGAATCAAAATCGAATTCTATGATACCTGTTTACCGTATTTTCGTTAAAAACATCTATTCTAACTGCAGTGATAAACAACCCAATGTCGTTTGCCGCTTCCTAATATTACCTCAAGTCATACGTTTATCCTCCATTACTCTTTCTCTCCGTTGTAGGCTATAATCATGAAAGTGGCGCGTCACTATTTGAAAATATAGTGCTGTTTAAACTCAAGCACTTGGACCCCGAGTTTGTTTCACACAAATTTGGTATCATATTACTTATTTATTAAGTAGGCACTGCCAAGTCCACCCAACTTCATCACAGACAACATATGGTGTAGCTGGATTTTTTATCCCGTAAATTATTCACTCAGTACAGACACTGACAAGCGTACATACGCGTATACTCATGTAAAATCCCCCATCAATTCGTACATGTTTCGTCTTTATCAAGCAACATAATGTATTTAAGCAAATCAATTAATAACGATCATATGTGTCAACTTGATCCATTCCTACTGGTCCAATTAAAGTTGCGCCCAATCGAGGTTCAACAACTTACACAATCAAATGAAGATAGCGCATTGTAAAAGTAAACAAGAACGCAGTGCCTAGGCTCGCCGCCGCGATTAGCCGGTCACGATGCTGGTGCTGCGAGTTTATCCCAGAAATGAGCGAGACGCAATTTGATAGACAATCTATCACATTCAAGCTCGCATATTGACAGAAATACATATGTAGCGAAATAGGACATGGCAACGAAGTGTTTTCGCATACTTGCAGGCCGTAATCAACAATGGGACTTAACGATGGAAAACTGAATATGTTTGAGGAATAATCGTAATAGAATCCTAGCCCGTATACATATATAAGATCTGGCCGTTTATTGCATTTACCACGTGTAAATGTTATGATGACAAAAGCTGGTCGGGCAGATGCTTTACGGCATTCAAGCCCATGATTATGTTTTCCAAGAGTAATACGCATCCCTTCTTAGCCAAGTCCAGATCACGCAGTATGACCTCAGTGCCGTTTGAAGTCGTGTACTGGAAGTAGAAAAGGAAAAACAATGAAGTGATCGATAACATATGGTACGTCAAAGTTGCCTGGCTGATGCGAGTGTCCTAATTCAGCCTATCTCTTTGCCTGCTAATTCCGGTGTTTATTCTCATTTTAAAGCTGATGACGAATTGAAACATTTACAAGTACATTTATCATTAAGTTGTTCTTAATGTCGGAGGCTGTTGCAAAATCAATCAGATCTCAATCTTCCTACGAACAAATAAGCCGTTTCGTTGATTTATGATCCATGGCCCCACTTTCTTTTCGAATCAGCGTCGTACTAAAAGAATGTTTTGGGTCCTTGTAAACCCAAGTTATATCAATCCTTTTATCATCAACATTCGGTCATTATATACAGTGAGACTCGATACCATTACACAATATGTATGCTCCAGCCCCTATCGGAGATTCCGCCGTTCAGCTGTTTTAATCGAAGCCTCAATTCCTGTGAATCGTATTTCTTTTGGTTATTCGAAAGAAAGATCGACACCACTAACAATTGTTTTCGTATTGGGAAGCGTCTAAGATCGAATCTGGCCACTACTCATTCTGTTCCAATCTTGGTCTTTTTAATCTGTACGAAATAAACATAACTGAAGACGATACAAGTGCACTGAACCGGGATCAATATATATTTATCGTCTTTGTATCAACGAGAAAAACATCTGTGCGGCATATTCAGCAGCAAAAGGAAGTAAAGCGGATGCCATTGGGTTACCAGCTACTTATGTTGCTCTACTCACATTACAGATTCATTTAACTACTATACGGGATATCAGACTCGGACTTCTGATCTACATGCCCGCAAGACCACTTCCTAGTATGACTCCTTATTCACTCATACGTGAGTTGTATTACGAACTTTTGTTTCACCTTTTTCAGTTCGGATATATCGTATTCTATGATCATATATCGCAATCATTCACCGGTGTATCGATCGTGAGATCAAAGTAAAAAACGTGACAAAAGTGGAGACTTTACATGACCAAGTTTCCTAGAAAGCTTTTAAAGTATGAGTTATACCGAAATTATTTCTTCGACAGACTTATACAGACAAATAGCCCGTCAATATCTTAAATTTGGTGATGAATACCGGCATAATATTCGAAATCATACTTATGTTGTGTCGATCTACCCTCAAAGTTGCTTTGCTTTCACAAAATGACGGTGCTTTCGGATTCAGCAATGGCAACAGCGATCATTCTTTGATGGTCGATAAAGTATGTATATTTATTCAGTATTTTGCATAAAATGATCAAAGGCACTAAAACCTGAACAATCTAATGGCTCCAATCGTTACGCTCTTACCACATTCTTATACGATCTCTTAAGATATCTTGAATTTGGCTACACTTTCATTGAATCAGCTAGCCATATTTTGGAGAAATGTTTACGTCGCGAAGTGTTGAAGCTGCTGGAGTCGATCTACGTTGTATAATTGATTAAAATCAATACAAGGTACAAACATGCGAATTCAAGCTGGCTTTATCATATTCATATTTTAAAATATGCTTGATGAGTGTTGAGAAGTACACCGTATGGATGCCCTTATGGATGTATTCTTATTGGATATTGGTAATTAGGTGTGACTTACTTTCGTGGAAACATAAGGTAAGCGTATATGCGGTGCGGCTGTCAGCAGGTAAACTGATTACCAGAAGATTACCAGGTCGTGATGAGAACATAGGTACGACAATTTTTCTTAACCGATAGAAACATACCGTAGGTATCAGGCTTGGATGTAACATGGTTAGCATGAGAACTAAGAACCTCAATCAATATATCACTTCGGTATTTGCCTTTAACACAAAATTAGTCACTTCATTTGTAATTGACCTAAGCATCTCTTAGTTTCGGTAATCATCATATCTTAGTATACCATTCAACCACTATCACATTATTGCATACGATGATATTTCTCCACATGCGCGACAACCTTTAATATCATCTTCTCTTCGACCAATGGGTATCATTTGCACCCTTCATCATAAAATGCCTTTATGGACCGTCTAACCTGAAGTTTGCAAGTTCACCGACCCTTTCACGTTACACTTGAATGTCTATTAATGCGTCGCATTTGATCTTGCCTTTGAAGTATTGCAAAAGAGCACCGCAATTCAGATTGGCTTTATTGGTTCATTTTGTATCGATATAGCCTTTGTTATAGACCTCTAAAACAAATCGAAACGATCGTAACAAGTCTTCAAGATCGATCGTTCTTAGACGATGATATGTACTCCTTCGTTAGTATCACATGATTCGCGGGTTCAATTGTGTTCAGATAGCAGCCCATCACTAGAACTTAAACAGTGTTCTTGTCGACAACTTACGAAATATTTGACAAAACCAGAAACCCCTTCGCAGATTCATCTTGACAATGCGAAACGATGGCACGATTTGGTAATTAAGTCTTGAAAAACGGGTGGAGATGTTACGCGTATCCTATTATACGTGTCAAGCACGCGTCCGAATGTAAAGTTTTTTGTCATTCGTGTTTAGTTTTATCAGTGTGTTTGTGAAACGGGGACCCTCTGCTTATGTACAGTACAAGCTACCTACACTGAACACAGTACTGGTAGGTGCTTTCACATCCAGCGTACGCCGTACGTGAAGATGAAGACTTACCTTTTGAACGAATATGTTTAGGAGAAGGAAAAAGTAGAGATGCATCGTATGTATACATTGTTATTTAAGGATATAAAACCTCTCTTGATCTGACTTTCATTTTCAAAATACAAAATTCGAATGCATCTGCTCGCCTAACACCCATTGTGCGCGTCTGACAATGATTGGTAGTGGAGGTGGTCAATATACTGGCCGTTACGAACCAACAAGTGGAGCGATGCCGAATATTACCTTTAAAGGTAATATTCATCTAATATATACGCAGTAAGATAAATATAGGTATATAATACAAGTAAGAAAAATATGGGTAAATAATTCGAAGCAAGAAGATATTCCTATTGACGCAATCTGGTGTCAGCGGCATCTGATGGGCTCAGCCCCGTTACGGTTGGAACATATGTTGAGGGCTTTGAGATCCGCGCTTCACATTTGCAGCTTGTGATTTACCTGTAGACCAAGATGTTACGCTAAATGTGTTCGTACAAGATACGTCGGTAATAATCGCCATTAGACAACAACAGGTAATGGTGCCTTTTGCTGTTCCTCGCTCTGACTGATGCGAGAGTAGCGATAGTTGCTCACAGGGGATACTAAGTGACATGGTCTTTGCTTCCGCATATTGAGATACTGACACACATACATACGTATTCATTTGTTCATGCTTTGGAATCACGAGAAGGATCGACGCAACCGACCTATATATCTTGAGAAAGAGAAATCCATTTAGCTGTCATCCAGGTCACGTCAAAGAGCTCCATGCCGATTTTGAATGCAAACGTCCCCGAAACTCGATGAGAGGATAGATACTAAGCGTGGTCTAGCCACGAAGCATCACTCTGTTTCCCGTGTACATCTTTCTTGCGATTGTGACGAAAGCGCTACGTTCATCATTGGTAGAAGGGTGTAAAGAGGAAGGATGGAGACGAATGTGATCGATGCCTGGCTTTTGTCAGCATCAAAATCATGGGGTTCTATGTGTCAGGCCGCCATGTATCCGGAGAAGCTCAAAATGACCATTACGGAAAAAGACCGGCTATTTGTGATTCGTTGAGAGTACGCACGCTTCGAAAAGCTTGAGCTTTAGACGAAATGCGCTTCCAAGGGCGAGAGTAGATCTTGTTCGTCAATTGATGAGCTTGTGCCACATGTTTTTACATCTCGGCACAAGTTCATCATTTAGCTCAGTATTCCAATGTTGGATCGAAGTTTGATCAACTGATAAACGATCGCTCTTTTTGTCGGTGGCTAAGTGCTCGTTCGATTTTGTCTTGCGGAAGTGACAACGACTGACACCGCCGGAAGGACGTTCACACCTGTAGGAGTAAAGTGTAAGGACCATGATAAATAGTAGTTAGATGGGAAGTTGAACCCACGGCGCGCTTCTTTCGACTTTCTACAGGCTGCCTGGCTGAATGGCTATTATCGAGTTTTGCGAATCTGTGTATTCATTTTTTTACGTTTGCAAACAAACTCCCTGTACCAGTTACTCCGGCACTCGAATGAACCACACAATGTCACACAGGTAATCTCGACGTGGTGATCGAAGCTCTAGCGAAATGACAAGTCAAGAAAGTCGGAGGTTGGATTTGTATCAAGACTTATGCGACAGCATAATACGTACACTGCTCCGGCGCCTTCGTTGGGGCATCAGAACGCCTCGTTCCGAATGAATCTGGTAATCATGTCAAGCGCCACCTCGGGTTGGTCCGCTGGAACCGTGTGGCCCGCGTTGTAGACTTCCAAGTATGTCAGGTGAGAGAATGAACGCACGGTTCCAGCAGTCACCGTCGGTGAGGCGGTAGTGTACGGACGGGACTTCGTATCGTTGAAACCCGCAGCGCCGGACCAGTGCAGTTTCGTTGCAGTCGCCTCGATTCCGTAGCTGCTGCAAAAGATGTCAGCGTCGCCAGCATACATCAACACACGCAGACCTGCCTCCAACAGTTCGGAGACCTCTGTGTCCATAGACTGGTAGCCTGCGTAGCTTGGCTCGCCAAAATAGGCGCCGTTGATGGTGTCGTTAAGCGAAGTCCATTCACCGATATTATCGTGAGCTCCAATGTATCCTCGAACTGCTGGTCGATCCATGTACCACTTTACGTCAGGCGTCCGAAGCAAGCAAGCAGTTGCGTCCGAAACTGAGCTTTCGCACTCTTGCCGAATGTCGTACGGGTTTCGGCGTGCTTCCAGAAGTGGCAGCAGCTGTGAGAGATTACAAAAGTTGCCCGCTTCCTCACACGCAGATGCGTCTTTTTGGCACTTCTCCAGTAGGCCTCGACATTGGTCGACTGTCATCTGCATCGACTCCAGCTGGGCGGCATCCACGAGGTCGATGTTGTACCGATTGGCTGCCATGTCGACATAGTGCGCGGCAATTTCAACCGGGTTGATGAGTCCGTTCCCAAGAGCAATGCCTTGGAGGTTGATCGGGACGGACTTGCGAGAGGCAGGAGCAACGCGGTGTCGGTGTTGCTGCTTCCAAATGTAGTGGGCTGCCGATAGCGCGAAACGGGCACCGTAGCTCTCCCCAACAAGGTACACTTCTCGTCCTTGCAGTGCCACGTGTTCCTTGAAGAATTCCTGCAGAAACCCGTACACACTTTCGGCCACGCGTTCTTCGGTTAGCTCGTCATCTTCAGCGGCAGTCGAGTACGAGAAGCCCGAGTTCACAGGGGCGTCGATCCACACTACGTTGGCACTTGTTGTCCATGAGAAAGGGTTATACGTCGTAGACCGATCGCTGTTGAGGCTGCATGGACCGTTTTCCACCAGCAGCCCATACGCGCTCCCTTCACCCGGACCAGCTGGAATCCACACGAGCAACGGGTCCGAGCTCGGGTCGTTGCGCGACTCAAAGTACCAGTAGAAGTAGTGGGCGTCAATGCGGTTGGGAAGGCTGACGTACCCCGTCTTGTGCGGCTCGTAGCGACAGCCATCTTCACGCAGCTGACGCAGCTCGTGCGCTTGCTCCTGTCCAGCGTGTACGGTCAGATCCACACTAGAGGCTACTGCCGTGAGCAAACTTGTTGCCAACGCGAAGGCTACGGGTTTCCCGCGCATGCTCGTTGCGGTGGTTGAATGGGACGCTCGGAGGATCAGTGGTCGCGACCGTATCAAATGGTTTGTGCCGCTCGAATGAACGGTAGTTTGTGCGTCACCCAGCAAAGGACGGGACGTTCGGCTGTCGCTTTTATTCACGGTCGTCTGCGTTCTTGCACAACAGCTGCAACCTGATCGGCATGTTTGTCTCTTCTTACAACGTTTCTGCCACACTTGGCGCGGAAAAATGGAGCTGCTCTGCGGTTTCGCCTTGCACTAGTTGATGCCGAGTTGACAGCCTTAGCGACTGCGAGGTGGTGTGGAAGACGACGAATGGCACAGCAAGGACTTGGCGTATCCGAGTCGAAGTGAGCTGTCACTCTGAACACCAACGCAGCATGTCGAGAGGACACAAGAAGTCCGAGGTGAGAGCTGGGCAAGCGGTCTTTCCAACGAAAACGTGGCATCCGAAGGCCGCTTTGCTGTGTTTGCAGCACCTCTGGATGCGAATGTTGCTTGCTGACTCTGACGTAACGCTCAGTTTGCGCACCATCACGCCTACCACGGACGCAGTCCAGCCCTCCTCCAATGCGATCGTGTCTCGTGTCCCGGCTGTGCTTCCGATTCTGGCCTGCACCTCAGTCCTGTCGCCACGCACCTGGTGCTGACAAGCATAGTTCCTACTTGTATGATGCAGTGCGCATGTATCAGACAGAAACTGGCTTGATATGCGGAAAAAGTTGGACGACGATGGCTGTATGGGCGAGACGCTTCTAGATCCAAACGTGGTCGTAAGTAAGGAAGGCTCACTCAGAGGGTCAACTTGGCGGTGGTATATGCTGCTTCTCAAACAAAATGGCGGGCGTCGAGTACCATACGCCTACCCGAGGTCGGTCTGGTGTCGCCTGCACATGAACAGATGGCATGGGATGCTAAGACGTGGCGTTAGCGTTGGGAATCATCCACGCGCATGTCGATATCTCGCCTCTTGACACGGCTCGTTGCGACAGTTTGCACCCCGGCGGATCGAAGCATCTGGTCTCATGTTCTCTTACCCCGTGCAGGATGAGCAGAATGTCTTATAACCCGTGCGGCATGGGCAGAATATATTCACGCGCTGTTGTAGCCAAGCAGTCGCCCCGATTCTATTCGAATCAGCTACCCACCGGATGCGGTTGTTGAGCTGCGTAAGGTATCCCCGAGAGGTATTTCCTGTCACTTTAGACCGACTCTTCTTAGCCAGACATTGATCCCTAGAAACAATCGGCAACTGTCTTGTTTTCGGAATCCACCATGCTAACAAAACGAGCGCATCGTCTTTGCTGCTCTCCGGGACGATGCTTGCTGAAACAAATACTTGCGCGACGTGATGCATCATTCACGTCAGTTGACATAGTCATGGTACTTACGGCTGTATCTGTGCAATGCCAGACACTCGTAAACAGAAACAACCTCAGCGACGGCCAAAGCTGATTGTTATGCAGTATGCCATTGTGTCCGACGACTCAATGCAAGTTGCCAGCTATCGATTGAGCCTTACGAGTCGTACTAGTTTGATGACGAGTTGAGCCCGTTCCATGTCATTTACTCCAGACTGGGTCGATGTGAATATTATCTTACTTGGAAATATATTTCAAAACTTACCTAAATAACTTCATACTGTATTCTACTACTCACCAGGCTGAGTAAGTATTGGAGAAAATTACCTTCAAAGGTAACAATCGGCACCACTTTTTTGTTGGTTAATATAGGCCATTATAATGACCAGCTTCACCAATCGCTGCTAGACGCGCGCAATGAGTGTCGAGCGAGTTCCTACATTCGACAGCTGCATTTTTATATTATAACATAGGATCAAATGCGTTTTTATAGGAGATTGATCTAATTATCATACACAGTTCTGCTTCTCGATTCTTCTATCCGTTTTCGTGTGAAGAATAAGTCTTCATCTGCACGTACAGTCTACTTGAGGTTGCGAGCACATACACTGCACTGCCATCTGTGTATGTGGCTTGTACTTTGACAGCAAAAGTGGAGGGTGCCCCGTTACAGCACTGGAGAAACAACACGCGACGTCGTTCCTTATGTGATGTGCGGCAAATTGTAACACCCATAGAAGTCATGTGTATTGATGAGATGTATCGAAATGTAGATCAATGAGGTGTATCGAATAAATGAGTTGTATCGGAGTTACACACGTCACATGAAAAGGGTGGACTACCCAGACAATAGGTAAAAGATAAGAGTGTTGTCGATAAGTCGACACGAAAAGTAGCCTGAATATGGCAGTACTTCAAGACGGTCTACCATGTATATTTGACACAACGTCGTGTTCAAACCTGCAAAGAAGTTAAGTTAAATGAGCATAGATTCTAGAGGAGAAAAATGGCATGTTGAGCTACAAAACGCGCTTAGTCAAACCCTGCGCAAGCTAGAAATGCGTCCGGCCACATTTTCTGTACATAGTGCTCGTTGTTTGACATATGTTGTATCGCATTGCTTAAACATGATGTCGTATTTGTATCGCCTGTTGCAAGATACAGTGTATACTTCACATCAATACGTTGCGTTCGTTGGCGCGGGCTGGATGTGTGAGCCTCAGTCGTTTGTGTGCTGGCGCTACGATAGTAGGCCAACATATTCGAGTCCAACAGTCGTCAAAGCATTGTGTGAAAAACGATCATACCTGGTGGTCGAGCGTTCATGGGGATCCACCCTCGACAAAGCCATGATCTCCCCACGTAGAATGAACGTGGAACAGCCGTACACAACGACCATACCAGGAGGGCTAGTGGTCTCAGATACACGAAGCGCAGTTGTCGCGAATCAAGGTCTCACATACAACATTGGTCTTGCTTTCACATCCTCATTCCACAGTCGTCTCAAGTAACGAGCAAGCGCTTGTCAACGAGAACAGGTTCACCACATACGGTAGCCTTCGTACTTTGATAGGACAAGCTAGTAAGCAACAAAGTACTCAGCTGCAACGTGCAGGAAACGAGAATGAAATACGTTCTCCAATATGGCAGACGATAAGAATGTAGGACCTTCATCAATATACCACTGCGGGATCACCTGGGCACCAACGGTGCCTCACATGCTTCTACAGCTTTTGCATATCTTTCCTAAAAGGAAAACTGGACGACGGATAATGAGTTGGAAACAACCGGGAGGCCGATGCGTACTTGAGGCTCATGTCAATCAGTTACAAGTCCGACAATTTTTACGACGATCGACCGCGGAAGCTGACAGCAACGACGTACACCGCACCGAGCAGTACATTTGCCGACATTGTCGCTTGCCACGACGTTCGAAATTATAGCGTAAAGTGGGTTCGGCAGATCGAATATGCTAACACACATCGGGACGGCAACAGCAGACAACATGGATTTCGGGTGCAAAAGAGACGGATAGGTATCATCAAGCTGTACGGACATTTGCTGCATCGATTCCAGCCAACTACCACAATCTGGTATGAAGCAAGGCCAACAGGATAGGGCAGACCCTATCATTGGATGCTGATGTGGCGCTCACGAATTGCATGGTCAAGCTACCAAGTTCCTACTGACCGAAGCTTCGAAGGTCTACTCGAAAAGCATGACGAATGCAAAATGACTGCAGTTGTGGTGAAATCGGATAGACCCGGCCGCGCGCATGCATCTTTGCACGAAGGGGAGCAACTGTGGAAGAAGAATTGGGATGTAAACGATGATATGGCAAGACGGTGGTCGATCGATTGACTAAGAACCCATTCACGCTTGCCGTTGCAGCACACTGACCTTGTGCTCTGACTCACTACAACTCGCGGCTCGTGCCAGAGCGTCTGGAATAGTTGGTAGCTGACGTGTGCTCTCGCTGCTGCCATCACGATGAGAACATGCAGTCGTTATGCACCAAACTTCCGAAAACATAAACTGTTTCTCTATTTAAACGCCCTGTGGTTGCATCAACCTTGTTTCGTAGCCTTCTTCTTCTTGCCTACAACGCCATTCGGCTGAGCAATCCGAGCAGCAGAACTTGGCGCCGCGTTCGTGCCAGCAGTGGGGTGATAAAACCGGATCTCATTCACCATCCGCCGTCGGATCTCCGCCACATTCATCTTCTTCTCATCAAACTCAAGCTGGATTGTTCCAGGAGCCACAATCTCCTCCTCGAGCGAGCGGATACTGGCCAGGTACTTGTGCGACAGCGCTTCATCCAACGTTGCACGCTTGCGTGGATTCATCTTGAGCATCCACGTAAGCAGGTCAATCGCCTCCGGTTCAGCACCAGAATACATTTCCTGCAAGTTGCGTTTGGGTCGAGGCGGAAGACTGCGCAAATAGAACTGCACGTCGGGATCTGCGATTTCTGCAATGTCGTCTTCCTCCATCGTCCCAAGCACGTCCAGGATCGTGTTCAATTGGTCACGACTATCCTGCGGCAACGCGACTTGACCAGCACCAGGACTCAAAGGGAAGCACGATACGCCAGGAAAGAGCGGTTCGCGCTGGTAGTGCGACGGCACGCTGCTTTTCTGCATACTCAATAGCTCCGCAAAGATGCATCCGATCTAAACAGACAACATCGTACAAACATCACGCACATATAAGCTCCCCTGTTCGACTAGCCTCTTCGATCACAAAGACTCGTAATGAGAACGTACCGACCACACATCGATAGCGGCCGAGTAGTCGTGGTCACGAAAGATAATTTCAGGTGCACGGTACCAGCGTGTGACCACGTGCTCTGTAAGTTGACGCTGGATCCGACGGGCAGGCGTGCGGGGATGCACGCCGATTCCTTGTAGTGTACTCTCATCCGGGGCTGCATCATCGCCTAATCGCTTCCGCTTACGTCCTGTAGTTGACCCTGACGATGAGAGGCCACGTGCCAGGCCAAAGTCACAAATCTTGATGGCTACGGGTGACAGGTTCAATAGCACATTGGCCGGCTTGAGGTCACGGTGCACGATCTCCGCTGAGTGCATGTACTTCAACGCTTTCAGCAAGTCTAACAGCAACCACCGCAGGTGCTCGGCCGTAAGAAATTGTGGCGAATGGAGCAGCTTCTCCAGATCCGACGGCAAGTACTCAAATACAACAAAGAGGTCTTGGAAACGGTCGAGGTCAAGCGGCACAATGATTTCTCGAATTTGCACAATGTTCGGGTGTCGCAGCTGACGCACAATGCACAATTCGCGCAAAATACGCTTGGCGTCAATCGGGTCCGAGAACACATTCTGAATCTTCTTGATCGCCACAATCTCGCCCGTCGGTAGGTGCTTGCATCGCACCACTTGTCCATAACTTCCCTGACCAAGCACACACTCGATCGAGTAGTTTGGTGCAATTTCACTCCAGCCGAGAATCGACGTCGCATTCGACGCAACGGACGTGGACAGAGAGGCAGGGACGGTACCAGCATTCGGCACGGCAGCCGGCTTCGAGGGCACAATCGCACTCGGCACAGCACTCGGTACAGCACCCGGTTGCGTCTCGGCAGCTACGTATACACGACAACATGCAAGCAACAGCCATTAGCCTTTCAGTATGCACCACCACGTCATCGTTCCCACGTACGTGTTCCTTGGTTCTGGTCCAGTAGCACAGGTGTGTCTGCAACAGTCTTCTTGTCCACCAACGTGAACGGTAAGTGATTCAGCTCGTGAGCGACAACAAGCATCCCGGCTCCAACCGGATTGCCCACCAATGGGGTACACGATCCCAACAACGTGACCCTCGACTCGGTCCGACCAGTGAGCTCGAGCACCACACTATCAATCGGTGTGCCCGCGACGCAACGCACAAGCGCATCAGCGAGTATCGTGGCCGTAGAAGGGAGCACAACGTTCGGCACGTCGGTCAAGAGATTGCGCCCGGCCATCTCTTCTCTCGAGTAGCCCGAGAACTTGACCGCGCGGTCGTTCCACAGAATCACGCGCATGACGTCGTCCACGGCAAAGACCATTGCCGGCGACGTGTAGAGCGACTTCCCCAGACTGGCCAAGCTCTCGGTGCTTGCGCAGTACTTGTCCACGCCCGCCACAAAGCTCTGCACCGCTGCTACTGTCGTGTCTTCAAAGTGCTCGCCCAGTGTCTGCAACAAGATCTTGTGTACGACGCTGTTGCGGGCGGGGGCAGGAGCTCCAGCAACAGCTGCAGCAGCGGGTGCCGTGGCGAGGGGCGCATCGGGGAAGGGAGCGGACGCGGTCGATACGCTCGAGCGGCCGCTGTCTGGATCGGAGGACCGGACGGACGGGTCAAAGTGCACCGAGTGCGTCCTATTGCTGCCGTTCATTAGAGTCTCCAGTGACCTAAGAGAGCAGCGGAGGAGAAAAACAAGACGGAGAAAGAAGACGGAGGAGGAGAAGACGGAGGAGAAGACGAAGGAGCGATTACGATGAGGTGGAGAGAGACGTCTGTCGTCGTGTTCGGTACGGCGCGAAAGTCGCTATCGGTCGCGCGCAAGTCGCGCCTTTACGACCGCGAAAGACGGCTGGCAATGATTGCTCACTTTTGACGGCGCGATGCGATTGGTCCGCACGTGATGGGGCCGCGCACCCCATTGCGAAACGAACGACCTGCGCTGTTTCTGGCCCCGTGCAAACAGTTGTTGGAGTGGACCACTTCGCGGCGCGGCGATAAATACACTTCACGCGCGTCGGCCGTTTTCGCGCTCAGTGCGTGGCGGCGGGCGACACGACGCACACGGTGAAGTAGCGCTAACACCGCTCGAAAATCTTGTAGAGGTTGGTGAGGCAGGCCACGGGGGCGAGCACGTGGGCGCTGTTGAGCGCGCGCGGGGGACAGAAGGCCGCCGTCTTGGTCGCTGGGAACAGCACGTGCTCCAGCACGAGGGCCTCTCGCTCCGGGTTGCCGGGGTACCGCATCTCGCCGTACCAGCGCGCGAGAACTTGCGCGACGCTGTCGAAACAGAGCTCTTCTTCTTCCCAGTTGACTTCCGTCGCCAAGCGAAGCACAAACTCTGGCAGCGAATGCAGCGACGGCTCGTGGTCAGGGAGGAGTCGGGGGAGCGTGCGCAACAGGCCCTGTGAGTCGATGTCGAGGGAGAAGTACTCGAAGAGCATGGGGCCATTGGCGATGAGCAACGTCTTGATCTCGTCGGCGAGCTGCTCGCGAGGGCCGTCCTCTTCGTCGTACCCGTTCCGAGGGTTCTTGAGCGCCTCGAGCACCAAGTCGTGCGTTGGAAGTGGTGTCTGCAACGTGATTGGTCTGGTCGCTCCAAAGTGAAGCAACACCTGCTGGTAGAACACGTGGAAGGCGATCTCGTCGTGCCGCGTGATGTACAGCTTTGTACGGAACTGCACGAGCGAAAAGCGGCTGTCGACGACACCTACGAAACTGTGCTCGCGAAAGAGCTAGTGCACGAAAGCAACAGTCAGAGCTCCGACATGCAAGAGCAACAACGAGCGAAAGATGTTTTACCCTTTCCAGCGCCTTGTTCTTCTTTTGGCGCACTAAGCTCAGCAAGTTTTGAACGCTCGAGAGCATTTGTGGCGTCTGAGTGGCCTCGAGGCTTGTGCGGCGGTCGTACTCGTCCTCGGGCTCCGGCTCTGTGTGCAAACGATTCACAGTGGGTAAAATCGTCCACACAAAGCAAAGCAAATAGCTGCTATGTACCTTGACTGGACGGGGTCTCGGACAACTTTCGCTTCCTGCAGCCAAGTGGTCGCGTTGGAACGACGTTGCTTTCTGCTCGATCACCATCACCCTCACCATTCGCAGTGTCGCGGTCATGGCCCTGCGAGCCAGACTGGAAGACTTGCGACGACTGCGTCCTCTGCGATTCGAGGAAACAGTACTTGTCGATCGTGTTTGAGCGATGGTCAGTTCGCACTAGACGCTGTGGTGCCTGTCATTCACGCCAAAATCCGAGACGACCACCCGATAGTCAGTGACCAGAGCTGCATTAGAGACCATGCTGACAATCGTACGAGTGCTGGCTGGTATTTCTTGGAAGGCGGGGTCAGCTTTTGACTGAGATCGAGTTCGATCGAGTCGACGGAGCAGCCGGCCTCATTTTCGCAGTCGTCCTCATCCTTTTTGCTTGCTCTCTCACGCGACTTTGCATCGTCACTTTTTTCTTCATCTTCCATGACACTTTCTCGTCTGCCTTGCTTTGTCAGTGTACTGCTGCTGTTTGCTGAAGAGATTCCCAACATGGTCGTGATCGGCTGGACTGAGAAGCTCCGGCTTTCGTTGCTGCCTTTCAGATGCTTGTCAAGCGCCTGGCTTATCGAGTCAACGATATCCTCTTCGTGTAGGAAATGCACCTAGCATCCATGAAAGGTACCAAAGCGATCAGTAAGATGCATGAGCGACACACACAGCTGCTAGGCCCCTGTCTTGTAGCCATAGATAAAGTGATATGCATACCTCTCTTTTTGTCGGGTGAACGTTCACATCGACGTTGCGGGGTGGAAGTTCCATGCTTAAATAAATAAACGGGTGTGTGTTCTTCGGTAGATACAGCGAGTAGACGTACTCACAGGCCCGTTTCAGCGCCGGGCACTCGACCAAGCGATCGTTGATAAAGAGAATGAAGTTGCTCTTTCGGAGGCTACACCACGCACAGGTAGAGAAGGTTCGGTCAGACTAGCATTTCCAGCGAAAATGGTTGATGTTGAATACCAAACGGTCGGGGTACCGATACACTTTGACCCGAAACGTACTGGTAGTTGACGTTACTGACGTATCCACGAACTTGACGTTGTAGTTCCATTGAGCCTGCAGCTGACGCATTTCGGGTGTGCTCGAACGAAGTAAGCTCGCATGCGATCTTGCTGCCGTAGATCGAGCGAATCACGTCTAGCTGCGAAGACGTTTGTGTTGTGTTGACACCACACGACGATTCTCGGTACTAAACGCCCACGACCATACATCTCCATATTCTCATTCGAGCATAGCCAGCGATAGCAGCACAGAATCAACTGAGCGCACCTTCTTGCACACAAATCCCACTCCTTTGGCGCCAAAGTGGACCGCATACTTTTGCACCACATCCAGGATCCGAGAATACTGCTCCGACGCGTTCTTCAGCGCCTGTTTCCTCGTAGTCAAGTTGTAGAATAGATCTTCGACCTACAGGACACCCACACGCATTCAGTATGCTAGCATCTTTGTCGACTGTCAAAATGCACTTATCTCTACACCCACCACAATCTGCGTGCCAGTCCTTCCTGCACAAGGCTTGGGATCCTTCGACTCTCCGGGTTGCTTTGCTACCAATTTTCCATCCCGATACGAAGCTCTACAGCAACCACATTAGCAACACACAAGTACAATCGAATCATTTTGACCATAACCAGTGCATTTCTGCGCACTTGTAGGCACACGGCTGGTCTGCTGTCCGAGACGTGATCGTGACGTGAGCCACGTGCGAAATGCTCGCGAGCGCTTCGCCTCTGAATCCAAAACTCTTGATCTCGCGCAGATCTTCGAACCTCTTGAGCTTGCTGGTGGTAAAGCGCTCGCATACAATCGCCAAGTCCTGGCGCTGGATGCCTCGTCCATTGTCTTGAATCTGAAGCAGTTTCAGACCGCCGTGGCTCACGGACACAGCCACGTGCGTCGCTCCTGCGTCCAGTGCATTCTCCAGCATCTCCTTCAGTGCGCTCGAAGGTCGATGCACCACTTCTCCTGCCGCAATGCGGTTCACGACGTCCGGATGCAGCCGCTCGATCCGCGGCACTGTGGTCATGATCACTTTTTCACGACTGATGTCCTTTTTTATTGCGGGAGAACACGTCATTGGTTGAAAATCACGCCTCGCAAAAACGTCGGGGTCGAGGGGGGGGTACACTCGTGTAACCCCCGCATCGCGATCGAGCGAGTCGTGCAGTAGTGTCTACCTCGACTTTGTTTTGACAAGACAAATATGGTCGTGTCGTTCACAGTTTACAAGTCTTCCAAGTACCTTTTTGACTGTACGGGCAGTGCAGATATCAGTCAGTCGAAGCAGCCATGTCCGACAGTGGATCTACACGCACTGGAAGCACTTCGGTGAGTAGAATAGAGCACTGCTACTCATAAATACAGGCTGGCAAAAGAGAGATGTGACGAGTCTCGGAGTCAATGGTTATGGTACTTGACAGACTGAATGCGGTGGATGTGGTCAAGCGCATGGGGTACGTGGAAGTGGACAAGATGATTGCATCCTGTGCACAGCATGTACGGTACTGTTGGAGGTCACTTGTTGATAAGGAAGTGCGGGAACTGAGAAGGGCATCGACTGATGTGGTTGTTGTTGCTATTGCGGTTACTGTTGTTGTACTGTTGTTGTGCTGCTGCTGGGTGTAGCCTCCACAGACTGTCGTTGTGCCAGCTACGCACGGCGACATTGTGCCGTTTCAGGAGTTTACCAAATACCTGAAAGCTCGACAGCGGGTACAGTAGAAGTGCCTTTTGCGCGGGCGGTCGAAAGTCCGAGAGATCTCAGCTCGTGCTTGGTGGATACTGACATCACAGGCTGGCGTGGCATTGCTCGCAGAAGGTCGGCTCTTGATTCTCTCGCCACTGGAAAATGAAGACTTGCAGCTACGCTGCGTGGTTGCAAGTGCGAAGCCCTGTAAGAATGCTTCTGCTGCTGCCCCACCATATCATGCAACAACGGCAAATGCCAATGAAGCAACAGCTGGTCAGCACTTGCAGACAAAGGTGCATAGTCAAGCTGCTGCTGCTTTGTCGTCACCACTGCCTGAATCGAGGATTGAAAAGCATCGGCAGAGTCGAGTTCGCTCTTGCAATCGCGGCAGTACGCAGCTGGAAAAGGTCGTAGACACCGTACATCGAGAGCGATGCAATGAGCAGAACCGACACGGCCAGGTACTATGCTTATCCCAGAATCTCGTGATCAATAACATTGATAGTAATTGGTGCGGGATGTATCTCGTGATAGGCCGAAGTTCGAGCGTCGACGCCAGTGCCGGATAAAGAGTTACCCATGCTGTGCAACTTATCACGGCTTGAGCGGGCTACACAGATTGCCCGCTTTCGGTACGCTGCTCGTCATCGATTGGGATTGGCTGTCGTGCTTATACTTTGCATTCTGTAGGCAAGAGCACGAGGCTTTTCACAAGCACTATCACGGTGTGTTGCAGGAATGGAGCAAGTCGAACGTCGATGGATGAATGCACGTGATCGCATAATCGCGAGTTTGGCAAACTTGCGAGACGTACGACAGGTAGCAATGATATGAGTACGGCAGCTTTTGGTCCAGCGTGACGGTAGGATCACATGTTACTCGATTCGCAATGCGTCCATGTCCTTCAGCTCTTTTGGCACCTTCGACGTGATGATCTCAATTCCAGTTCCCGTGATCTGTCATGGAGTACGAAAAAATATAAGCGCTGAGCATAGACCGTGGCAAAAGGCTTGCACAACAACGCACCACGATATCGTCCTCGATCCGAATACCGATCCCACGAAGCTCATCGGGCAGTCCAAAGTCGTTTTTTGGCAAATAAATGCCTGGCTCAACGGTAATCACCATACCCGGCACCAACGGTGCATCGCGCGGGACGTGCGGTGTGTCATGTGTGTCCATGCCCAAATAGTGACCAACGTGTGTCGGGTTGTACTTCTGAAACTCGCGCATCGCAGCACGCGAGTGCGGCCCACCCTTGATCTTCATGATTCCTAACTCGAGCATATGCTTCATCATGATATCAACAGAGTAGTTGTGCAGATCGTTCAAGCTGATGGACTCCTTTGCCGCGATCATTTTGTTCAAATAGTCAATGCATTTCCTCTGAACATCCAGAACAAACTCGTACATCGTGATATGTCCTGCAGACAGCTTCTCGCCTACACCCCACGTGCGCGTGATATCGCACGCATAGCCGCCAGCCACCTCGCACCCCGAGTCCACTAGCACCAACTCGTTCTCGCGGAGCAGGTCGCGCTTCGCCAAGTAATGAATTACAGCAGCATTTGGTCCAGAGCCCACGACGTTCGGGAATGCGTTCCAAAGCGCACCATTCATTTTGACGGACCCTTCAAACGTCGACGCGAGCGCGAGCTCGGACATACCAGGTCGAGCAACTTTCATCATATCGATAAATCCCTGGGCACCAATGTCCGCTGCAAATCGCATGCGGTTCAGTTCGTTCTCGGACTTCACCACACGAAACTGCTCGACCAAAAAGTCGCCAGCGAAGAACTTGGTATGGAAGTTTCGTGTCGCTTCGACAAAGCTTGCGGCGTACTTTCCTCCGTCAGGTTTGAGCACAAAGACTTTCTCCACTCCGGATAATAACCTTTCCATGCCTGTCGCTAGATCCGTCAATTGAAAAGCTTCATCTGCCAAATACCGGTCCTTAGCTCCATCCAGCCCAATGCGAGCACCGTCCCATTGCTCACTGCATGACACAACATGCCGGCCTACTCAGCTTCAACCTCAACCGAGCTCAACAGAAACTCCTCTTCATCTGTACAAATACCTGCGCGGGTCCCGGGGACGTACGAAAAGCACGAACGAGCACTTGCCTTGGCTCTTGACCAGCACTGCATGGGCATCAGGTTCCTCGAGTCCTGTGAGGTACATGAAATTGCTGTTCTGATGGAATTCCCAGGGGATATCGTGGGTCATGTACTTGACTTCTGCCGCGTTCGTGATGAGCGCCGAGTTGTCAGGTATCGCAGCAAACACTTTGGCTCGGCGTTCCTGGAATTCCGTAACCGGTAAACCTGTGTTCGCATAGTCGGTTAGCACCCTTTGTACGAGTCCCTTAAGCGCTACTTTTTGGGAAGTCAAAAGCACAATTGCGTATCCAAAGGCAGCGTCACGCACCGGGTTGGAGACAGCCGGGCTGGACTCTGAACGGGTTGGTGAGCGCTCCGCTGTCGGCAGACGACAGAGCGGTAGCAACGGTCGACTGCGCTCGACAGGCCAATGCGCGCGTCGAGAGCCTCCGGGTCCGCTGCACCCCCGTCCGCAACATTTTGACGCCCACGGCCGGCCGAATTGACCCGCGAATTGGCACGACAATGTGCGTGCGTGTTGCGCCAATGTCGTCCGTATTTCCACTCGGCCCACGCGGGACTCGATAAGTACGACTGGTGTTTGACTGGTCACGGGGGGCTGTCTCGTTCAGTGAACCGAAGAGCGCCGACGCAGAGGGTACTTACCACTTACGAGCTTGTGTGTTGTGCCACGCGAGCGTAACGTGTCGTCAAGATGCCGCAGCATGAGCACATGGAGATGCACCGGAAGCGCCATGGCGTGCGGATGGACGCTGCCGAGAAGAAGCGCAAGAAAGAGGCGCGCGAGGTGCACCGCCGCTCGCAGTTTGCTCAGAAGGTGCATGGCCTGCGTGCCAAGCTGTACAACCAGAAGCGGTTCAAAGAGAAGGCGGCCATGAAGAAGACCGTGGCGCTCCACAATGAGCGCACGAACAAGCACGCGAACGACGACGAGATTCCCGACGGTGCCGTACCGTCGTACCTGCTGGACCGCGAAGGGGTCTCGCGCGCCAAGGTGTTGAGCAACACTGTAAAGCAGAAACGAAAGGAGAAGGCTGGCAAGTGGGACGTTCCGATCCCCAAAGTCAAGCCCATTGCGGACGACGAGATGTTCAAGGTCCTGCGCTCGGGTAAGCGCCGCAACAAGGCGTGGAAGCGCATGATCACCAAGGCTACGTTCGTGGGCGAGAACTTTACGCGCAAGCCGCCAAAGTACGAACGCTTCATCCGTCCGAGCGCCATGCGGTTCAAGAAAGCGCATGTCACGCACCCCGAGCTCAAGACCACGTTTCAGCTGGACATTCTTGGTGTCAAGAAAAATCCGCAGAGTCCGCTGTACACGCAGCTGGGTGTCATGACCAAGGGTACGATCATCGAGGTGAATGTGAGCGAGCTTGGTCTTGTCACCACGTCAGGCAAGGTCGTATGGGGTAAGTATGCTCAGATCACGAACGTGCCCGAAAACGACGGCTGCATCAATGCCGTGCTGCTTGTGTAGTAGTCGTGTATTTTATCGAGATCATATATTACCTACGATTGAAATCTTGACTTCTCTGTCTTCCGGGACTTGTCCTTCTTCTCCCCCAAATGCCTCAATGTATCGGTAGATGCTACCAGAGACAAGTGCGAGCAATTGACGTTACACAGCGTACAGCTACAAGACGCTGCCAAAGATAGTGCAGTTTATTTCGCATGGTCAACTCTCGTAGTTCTCAATCAAACCGACGTACGCGAGACCGCTGTCTGCGCACGCTGCCAGCAGAGCGTACTTGCCGCCTTCTTTCTGCAACTTGTTGGACGCCGTGTTCACTAATCGACAGCCAGTGGCCCCAAACGGGTGACCAAGCGACAGCGAGCCGCCCCAAGTGTTGAGCTTCTCCATCGGCACGCGTCCCACCGCCTCGTCGACTCCAAAAAGCTCCTTGCAGTACTTGGGCTCGGCCAACGCATTCAAATTCGCCAGCACCTGGCCAGCAAACGCTTCGTGGATCTCGAAAAAGTCAATGTCGCTCAGCTTCAGCTTGTTGTTGGCCAGCACTTGCCGAATGCCGTACGCTGGACCCAGCAGCAAGCTCTCAAAGGGGTCCACGCCCACAAACAGCCAGTCTTTCAGCACTGCTTTGGGACGGTAGCCCAGCTCAAGCGCCTTTTGCTCCGACATGATGAGCGTTGCGGCCGCGCCGTCCGTCAAGAACGAGCTGTTCGCAGCCGTGTGGGTCCCATGCGGCTTGATAAACGCCGGCTTCAGCGACGCGAGCTTGTCCAGCGTCGAGCTGGCGTTCACGCCATTTTCCTCCGTGCTGCCCTTGTAAGGCCAAATCTCGCCCGTGTACTTCCCCTCGACGTGCGCACGGTGCGCCTTGGCGTGCGCTGCAATCGTGTACTCGTCCATCGCCTGCCGCGTGACACCAAAGCGCGTGGCAAGCCGATCGCTCGATGAGCCCATGACCTCGCGCGTGTGAAAGTTCTGGATGGCCGGCGCGACCGGCGCAAAGTCCGCGAGCCGCAGTCCCTTCATCAGCTGCAACACCGCCAGTGGCCCCTTCTTCATGGCCTTGGGCGCGTTGATCAGCCGCTCTCGAATCGGCTTGGAAAAGCGGATCGGCACGTCGGAAAACGTCTCGACACCGCCGGCCAGCACCACGTCGGCGCGTCCAGCGAGGATCTTCTCGGCCCCCGAGCAAATCGCTTGGCTCGACGAGATACAGGCCTGCGTGACCGTGTGCGCCGGCACGTGCGTGGGGATCCCCGCCCCGAGCGCCGCTTCGCGCGCAATGTTCGACGTCCCGACTTCCTGGATGACCGTGCCGGCAATCACGTGGTCAATGGCGCTCGGGTCCAGCGCGGTCTTGACTAGCAGTCCCTTGAACGCCTCGCGCATGAGGTCGTAGGCGATCGCGTCCTTGTAGGTGGTCCCGGACTTGGCGAACGGGAGGCGGACGCCGTCGACGACGACGACGCGCGGGGCGGCATTGGCGGCGGTCGAGAGCGGGCGGAGCGCGTGGCGGGCGCGGGTCGACCACATGGCGTTCGAGAGAAGAAGAGCTCGTGCGCCGTCGAGTGGGGAAAAGCCAAAGTGAGAGATCTTTGGCGCGGCGTCTCGAGTGTGGGCGCGCGGACGGTCGTTCGTTCGTTTGTTGGTGGGAGGGGCGAGAGAAGGGAGCGCCTGCCGGCCTAGTTGAGGACGGCCGCGTCACGTGGGGTTGCAAAGCAGGGCCCGACGTGAGGAAAACCACGGTTCGACGACGAGAGGTGCGACATTTCGCTCGCTGGACATGGTGTTGGGTTTACGTGTGACTTGGGTCGACAGTTTAGGCGCAACGGAGGGGACGGGAGATGGAGGTGCGTCACAGCTCGTTGAAACGATTATACGAAACGTCGACTTCATTGGCTACAATAATACCCGTCTCCTTTTTTAGAAATAGTACACTTTCTCGACACTTCGACGACGACGGCGACGACTTCCTCTTGGCGGTCATCATTTAGAAATGACTTTGCCAATGGCTGGGTGGTTTTACGATCATCGCACCACTTCCCACACTTGTCGAAAACATTCTTGCAGACAGGACCACACTACAAACGTTAAAGCACACGATTCGGAGCTCGAAGCGGTGTCAAGCCAGCCACCTCATATCAGACGCAAGTCGCACATAAATCGTCACGCGTGCAAGAGCCAGCACCAACTTCCCCGCACGTTTCGCTAGACTCAAGACGCTGGTGCACAGCCTCCCGTGACTTTTGAGCACATTGTGCTCTCGTACATGGACAACATGTTCACGGAAGTTGCCCACACAAGTGCAAACGACAGATAGGCCAACGTGATAATGCCCATGATCCGGCTCGACCCGCCGGTGCGTTTCAATCTTTGTGTCTCGACCTTCTGGCGAGGGAGTAGCGGCAAGAACCCCAACGACAACAGCTTTGTGATATAGCAGATCCAAATGGTGATCGTCGTGTCGCGCCGCACGACATACGTGTCTTCCTGGATATCTTTCATCCAAATATGAAATGGCGCGTTCACCAACTTGGCCATAGAGCGACCGAACGGCGTCGTCAAGTTTGTAGTAGCCGTGAACAAACCGTATAGAGCACCTTCGTGCCCCACTTCAGCCAACTCCACGACAACGTACGAAGCAACAATGAAGCGAACGCCATCGGGCAGTTGCTCAATAACGGGTATGCCGAGCCAAAACCACTGGTTGCGCCAGACGTCCCAGACCGTGAGCATCGTCATAATGGCATCCATGAACAACGTCGTGCACATGGTGATAATGATGACTGCACGCCAGCTCCAGTTGAGACCGTACTTACCTGTGACAGCTAGCGTCGCAGCAAAAAAGATGGTGCCTACAATGATCGTCACACTGTTGTTGAAAGGAGTGACGTTGACCCAGTACAACTTGATGTTGCTAGCCGACACGATATTGATGCAGTTGAAGACGCCCGAGAAGAACTTGTACGCCACGATCTGATAGATGGCGCGTTTCTGAAGCAACGTCCAGAACGACAGCATGTATTGGCTGCAGGGCACTTTCTCCACCACGCGCTCTTCGGTCAATAGACACAACGACACAACGATCAAAGGAGCACAGATGATGCCCGTGATCATCATCAGGTGCTGGAACGAGAGCGAGAAGCTGAACGATCCGGCATACTCTTCTCCGTTCATGAAGAAGGCGATGGCAGCGGCGCCCACTGCAGTAAACGACGTCTTGACCGTATAGACGGCGGTCTGCACTCGCCCACGCTGCTCAATGGGCTCGCGTTGTGCGTACTCGACAATCATGGCATCAGCCGCCACTTCACACAGCAGGTAGCCAAACGACGCAAGCATCATGGGCACCACGTACTTGGCCGCGGAATTCGGGGCATGGGCGTTGATGCTCGCGATTTGGTCGCGTGTCCACTTGTCTTTGTCAATGAAGTGCATGGCAGCGTCGCCGTAGTATGGATCAGGGATGTCCATTGCTGCCATGACCAGAAGCATCATGACACAAAAGGCCCAGCCTATGACCATGTACGGACGACGGCGACAGCCCATGATCGGGAAGCAGTCACTGATCACGCCAAAGAACATCTTAAAGCACCAGGGAAGCTTCACGAGCACAGTCGCAGATACGATCGTCGTGCCTTCGGCATTCAAATATCCCTGGAGGACGGGGTAGATGACGCCCGGGATGAGGCCCGTGAGGAATCCAACGCCTGCGTACTGAGCAAGCAGTCCAATGCACTCTTTGCTCAAGAGATTAAGCGGCTCACCCTCTCGCAGCGCACCGTTCTCAAGCTCCGTGGCGATGATAAGCTTTCCAGGAGATGCCCAAGTCGAGTACATTGACTGTCGTTGTAGCATTTGTACGCTGGAGAGCTCACTCGATCGACCTTCCTCGATCGACTGCGTGGTGCTCTCGATCATCATCATCGCCGTCGTCGTCGTCGTCGTCACTTTTTGACAACTGATGCAAAGAGACCCGCACACGCACACGAAGCAGACGTGTTGTACCATAAACTGCGCAAGCTGATCGGACCCACATCCCCAGTGAAAATACTGTCACAATCGAATTAGCGCGTGTCAAGTATCCGCAAAGTCCCGCGTGCGAACTACTGTACTGGCAGACTGAGCTGAAGCAAAACAATGAAGCGACAAAGCCGCGCGCCATGTGAAATACAATCATTCGTCGCGCCACGCCGCGTCCATCGTGTCAATAGAAGCGACCGGCCGGTGGAACAGCACTGACCGAGTGGAATCTCTCTCTCCATTACCTCTTCTGCGAAGAAAAGACTGCCATTACTAACGCCAAATCTGCTCTGGTAGTGATGCGTTAGCTCTTCTCGGGGGAATACACCCTCTGTATCTATCGGTCTGCCGTGCTCCAAATCGATCGACCAGCGGTTGGCCCTCAGTGCGCCGTGTGCATAAAGCGCGCAGATCCGCTGCGGCATTTGGCGTGCTGCATCCCTATCCCTCCTGGCCACACCATGCGCGACACCTGTGAGCTTATCGCGCATGCACGACAAGAGGCGGCTATGTGCTGCTGGACAATGGTATAGTCGAGCGCAGTCGCGCGGCACGGCCCAGGGCTCCAGAACCAAGTGACTGCGCTTCAGTATGCCGTTGCGAAGTCGCTCGCGAAAAAGTGCCCACTTGATTGACAGAATAAAACATGTCCACCTTGAACTTGGTGGGAGGAGATGCGCAGACATGGCGGCTCTTTTATCCTCCAGAGGTCGTGGCTTTGGTCATGCTTTCGACAGACATCCACTTCGTCGACGAGTGTTCCCGCTGTAAGTTTGGCTGGTCTGGTGCTCGCACGAGATTCGTCCGTGACCTTTGTCACATCGACTGCGATACTGAGGATACTGCCGGGATCGTTGCAACTATCCTGAGTCGTGAGCGCTGGTTTAGTGGAGACGCATGGACTGCCATTCATTTGTGCGCTGTTGCTGTCTGTCGTTTCCATGGCACCGCTTCGTACTACAGAGATTCTTCAGAGATTCGAGGAAACACTATTCTCCATCGATTTTTGCTTCGCCAGTACTAGAAAGCTTACACGTACATCGAGCATAGTGTACCTGATGCTGCGGGCAAGCATGTGATCCCACGGTGATGAGTGAGTCCACGTGGCACGAATAGGCCGACGTCGCGCGGGCGTATTCCGTTCTGGTCCCAGAACGTCTCGTTTATATCCATTGCGCTACGACCTCTAGTGGTTGCAGTCGCGTTTGATGGCATCGAATACGGTACGTCCGTGACAATCTGCTTACGTTGTAAGCCATATCCGCAGGCAGTGATTGAACCCCAAAGGTTGAGCTTGTCATTTGACCCGGCCTGGTCCCCCGCTTGTCGGAAACGAGATGCAGTTGCCTAGACTCAGTGCGCATGTGCTACGCTTGTGAGGACTTCGCAGATGGGGACTGTAAATCAGGCGGTGGTACGAGCTCTTCTTCGATCGGGTCGGTAGCCTCGTCACCGTGCCAGCCAGCGGATGGAGCTGTACACAGTGCACGCTGCACCCAGCGAACGTTGTTACTATCGCTGGCCGTTGCGAACGCACTGGCTGTTGTGGCACAGCACGAACTGTCGGGCAACTAGCTATTGCAATTGTTGCTGCGAGTGTCTCTGGCGTTGTTACGAGCGGAACAATGACGACGCTGATCCACTCGGAGCCAGTTGTTTCGGCTCCGTATCCAGCGACGATGGGGAGTTCCGTCATGCCACGCGCTTCATTTGTGCACAAGTACACTGTTGCAATGCTTATGGAAGAAAAAGGGTCTTACAGGTACCTCGTTCTGGCTGCCATCGGCCATCCACTACGTACTCTCATCCTTCGTCCACACATCTGCTAAGTTGATCCTACTACTTCGACACACGTACATGTCTTGAAGGACGGTATCCTGCTGGACAAGTACGTGACGCGCCGTGACGTTTTGTCTGCTCGACTCGCACCTTCTCAGTGCAACGATAGCATCACTGTTATCGCCGATGTAGTGGGCCGACAGCAGTTTGTCGAGAAGGTGACATGAAGCAAATGAGCATGTGGGTGGCATGAACCTCAATGTTTGTTTACGTTTGCTTTGATCGAGAACGACGAGCGTGCCGAGTGGGAAACACTGTACTGGGCCACACAGAGCTATGCATCTAAAGCCGCGTCGTGCAGAGCGGTGGTACAGCTTGTGCACAAGCTTAGTCTACACGTGTAATATGCGCGAGTCGGTGCCATTATCTTCATGCCACTATCATCAGTATCCGATAGCACGAACGTGTTTACATAATAAGTAGATCTTGTACATTCGAGATGAGGCATCGACCATCGTCTGCGTCAATTCTAAGGGTCGACTCACGACTTTGGTGCACACCCGCCCGTGATCTTCCAGCACATCGTAGTCGTGTACATCGAAAGGAGGTTCACCATCGTCGCCCACACAATGGCGAATGCCAAGTAACCGACAGTAACGATGCCCATAATACGACTCGAACCTCCCGTCCGCTTCAGGTCCTGCGTCTCCGCCTTCTGGCGAGGTAGCAGTGGCAAAAGCGCCAGCGACAGCAACTTCATGCCATAGCAGATCCAGATGGTAATGGTCACGTCGCGACGCACCAACGTCGTATCGGCTTGGATATCGCTAAGCCAGACATGGAATTGAGCATTCACTAGCTTGGCCATGGAGCGACCGAAAGGGGTCGTGAGGTTCGTCGTAGCAGTCAGCAGGCCATACAATGCACCTTCATACCCGGCTTCAGCCAGCTCTACTACTACGTAATTGGCGATCATGAAGCGAACGCCGTCGGGCAAGTACTCGATCATAGGCACGCCGAGCCAGAACCATTGGTTTCGCACCACGTCCCACACAGTGAACATTGTCATGAACGCATCGATTGACAGCGCGCCGCACATTGTGACAATAATGATCGTTCGCCAGTTCCAGTCAAGTCCGTACTTGCCGGTCAAGGTCAGCGTGATGGCATAGAAGACAGTGCCCACGATGGTCATGAAACTGTTGTTGAAAGGAGTCGCGTGAACCCAGTACAGCTTGATGTTGCTAGACGAGACAATGTTGAAACTGTTCAAGACGCCCGAGAAGAACTTGTACGCCACGATCTGATAGATGGCGCGTTGCTGGAACAACGTCCAGAACGACAGCATGTACTGCTTGAACGACGGTTTGTCGCGAACTCGTTCTTCGACGAGCAAAAGCCACGACACGAAAACCAACGGCGCGCAGACGATGCCCGTGATCATCATCAGGTGCTGGAACGAGAGCGAGAAGCTGAACGACCCGGCATACTCTTCTCCGTTCATGAAGAAAGCAATGACAGCGGCACCCACTGCAGTAAACGACGTCTTGACCGTATAGACGGCGGTCTGCACTCGCCCACGCTGCTCAATGGGCTCGCGTTGCGCGTACTCGACAATCATGGCATCAGCCGCCACTTCACACAGCAGGTAGCCAAACGACGCAAGCATCATGGGCACCACGTACTTGGCCGCGGAATTCGGGGCATGGGCGTTGATGCTCGCGATTTGGTCGCGTGTCCACTTGTCTTTGTCAATGAAGTGCATGGCAGCGTCGCCGTAGTATGGATCAGGGATGTCCATTGCTGCCATGACCAGAAGCATCATGACACAAAAGGCCCAGCCTATGACCATGTACGGACGACGGCGATAGCCCATGATCGGAAAGCAGTCACTGATCACGCCAAAGAACATTTTGTAGCACCACGGGATCTGCACGAGCACAGTCGCAGACACGACTGTCGTGCCTTCGGCATTCAAATATCCCTGGAGGACGGGGTAGATGACGCCCGGGATGATACCCGTGAGGAATCCAACGCCAGCGTACTGAGCTAGCAGTCCGATGCACTCTACGGATAGCAGTGCAAGCGGCTCACCCTTCCGCAATGCGCCGTTTTCCACATTGGACGAATCCCGTTTTGCAGGTGTGCTGTCGCTCGTGTAGGACAAGTCGTGTTCTGCATTGTAGTGCATACTGGACATGGCGCTGAGACGCTCCAGGCCGACGGAAAGTTTGTCGACGCCAGCCATCTCCTAGTCGTCTTCGGCTGGGAAAGAAGATAACGCGTATCTCGGAGTCAGGAGATTGGAGACTGAGTGCAATCGATCGAGTGCTAGTGCCTGGAACTGGTAAACAAAGTTCCGACGGCGGTCTCGTCAGACCACATCTCGATCGTGTGACGCCTTAGCAGCGGCATGTAGACCTGTGCAACGGACTGTACATGTGAAGGACGTCTGTTGCGACTACAAACGATTGGACGCCACGCACCTGCTGAGACACTTGCGAAGGGATGCAGCAGTCAGAAAGTTGTACAGTTTGGTTTCAACCTTCACGTCAAACCAATGGTCGAAAGCAGACTCGACTACCGATCAGCGCGTGGAAACGTTATGCATCTCGGCTGACCCAAGCACCAAGAAAGAAAAAAGCGTTAGTGCATTGCTCGCTTGACAATGGCTATGTAGCAGAAGCACGCAAACTTGAGCAGATTGACCGTGTGATCCGTCACGTTCGTATTCCTGGTCGAGCGCTTTGAGCGTTCTTGCGCGTTCATAAGCGATTGTGAACGAGTCTGGTGAGAATGGCTATCCCTTGGGAGACATGCTGATGCAACAGCCAGTCCAGCGTCGTCCGTTTCATAGCGTAGCACAGCCATGGAAAGAGCTTTTCACTTGACAGCTTGATGCTAGTCTTGAAGCTCATGCTAATGCTCCAACTGTTATCGCTCAACTTTGTTGCAGAATCAAGTCGCATTGGTTTTCACGTCCTGTTGCAGCAGTCAGGTAGGTGCTGGGCTCCTGTAAGGCTGGCGCGTCATCGATGGCTTTGAGTCGCCAATTTTATGCATCGCCAGTTGCATTGGTGCTCCTTCATCCTGTCTTCCCATCCACCCGCACATCAGATCATCTCCCTTTTCCTCTGGTTTCGAGTGGATCCAACTCCATGGACTTGTGGACAGCTGCACGATGTCGCAAATGCACATTTCCTGCTCTGTGACTTCGTCATGAAGGAGATTGTGTCTCATTGACACAGTCTTGGCGAGTTCTGTAAGACAGATAGCCAGGTGAAGTGGGGATGCTTGTCACTGGACACACCGACCGCTGCGATTCCTCTACCGATGCAAGATCGAGCGGGACTTGAATAGTAGCGGCAGAACCGACACTTTGGTTTCGCGCGCAGGCCGACGCAACCACTACCTTGACGGCAATTTTGGGGGCTCAGGTCTTTGTTGCACAGACCGCACGTCTGCTGGTATTGTCTCAAACGGTTCGCGACAAGCATAACATCTACAAATGGCAATCAACGTCTGCGATAGCAGAAGGGACGACCAGGAAGCTACAACATGCACGAAGGCGAGACGCATCGTAGATCGCACGTGGCTGCAGGGAAAATCAAGTTGCACCAAACGCAAAGATACGAGAGTATTTGTCCCTGCGCAACTTTCTTCGCCGTCATCTGGCTCCAGCGCCCGGTCGTCGTTATCTGCACCTTCGTCCGTAGCGCATGGCATGTCTGTACAATGTTGAAGTCCATGAAATCCGCAGCTGCAGTCCACTGGGCGTGCGACCCAAGCGTATGGTTCAGGTTGTATTCGTAAACATATATTACAGGTACGACGTGATTGCTGTCCAGTAGCACAAATCATTGCCAACGATGCAGCGTCCACAGGTGTGCCAAGTACCACCTCCTTCCAGCTGAAGCTCAGATAATTGATAGCCCAAGATGCATGTACCCCTTTGTAGAAAGGCTAATGCCTCGCACACAAGCGATACGATGGTACGGTTATTTTTTCCGACGGCTGCTCGATGTCTCACGGTACAAAATATCGCAAAGTGGTCTTATTACGCACTCGCTTGTGCTCATGGATTACGTCAATTGTTTGCGTAGCTTGCCCCGACAGCATCGTGCTCTACACTCTCATCGTTCCGAACCGCTGTAGCCCGCAAAGCGGGCTGCCTTCATCGTTACCTACTTTTGTTCAGCATTCTTTTACCGGCGTTCCGCCGGCTATTCAGCTAGTGCACAACATACAATTGATGAACTCTGCGTAGAAGCACGTGCTAGTAGCGACCTCCTTCTCAACAGTCCCATCGATTCTTTCATGCCACTTCTGGAATCAATGTGCGCTTCTGTCGACTCTTTCAGTCATTGTCACTCTAGTATTCCCGACTGTATTATGAGATATCCAATATCGCGCTCACATTTCGCCGTACTATGTATAGGTCATTGAACGTTGGCAGGTCGGCGATCTCGAGCTCGCATAATCTTTTCTAAACGGCATCCTAGCATTGATTTTGTCCATTTTGGTTTTGCCATAAATTGTTTTTGATACTTGTACTCACGACCTCCACCTTCAAATGTTATATTTTTGATCGCCATATTGTTGTAGAAAAATTGAAAGCATAAAGAATTACGGAAAAACAACGAATCACCACTTATGTTGACAAATCAAAATGCATGGCACGATAAAAAATGCACCTAGGATGTCTATGAAAAGATCACCAAATCAAACAAATGCAAAGAAAAATATACAAGAACGTACTAGTCAACTGAGATTTACTTAAGTGCATCACTGATTTATACATTTCCCCTTACATTTCCCCTTACATTCACGCAATCCGACGATCGTCCACATAAATCTTCGTATAACTACTTCATTCCATCTCTCAAACGTAAATCGCAACCAATACTTCTTACTAGTCTACAGTATATAAGAACGAAGGGAAAGTGATATCGACAATTCAAGCGTAGCTTACCAGACTTTCTTATTGCTCGAGATTAAGGCCACGTTGCTTTAAGCTCTTTCTCATCCCAGCTTTTTCGGTTTTGACATTGTGACACTGTGTAGCTGTCACCTCGGCCGACTAGTGTTCATTGTACGAGATGATACAAAATTGTGTCCAGAAAGCGCGTACAAAATGCTCTGTACGATGTTTGAGGTGCAGACAGCATTAGCTAATGTATAGACAAGCTACAAGAGGATACAAGATTGTGAAGAGCAGACAAAATTGTCTTGGTGCTATTGTAGGTGATCACGCGGATGCTTGCGGACACATAGAATCGACTTCTTGCTAAATCTCGCAGTTCTGATAGGATACTGTGGTCGCCACAAAAATATGAAGCTGATATTGGACATGGTGATTTCGATGATTATATGAATATTGCGGTTTATTTGTTGCAAAGACAAGGCGATATCGGTTTCTACACTTATGGACACAGTGTCCCAAATCCTGGCAGCACGGTCTTTTTGGATAGCTTTAGACATGATAAAATAATGGAGTCTTATAGGTACACACCCACCCTTTGATACGAACAAACACCTGAAATAGAGGCCCCTCCTTAAGCACCGAAACCCTTCTAACTAGGCACCGCACACTTATGCATACAAAATGAAATCTAAATATTCTTTACTTTGTACACACCCCTCCGTATGACAGGCCTCTTTTGTGGCAGCACACAGCCTTGCGTATGAAATCCGCTCTCATTATCCGGTACACCGCCCTAAATTGATTTTAAATATCGGCCGATGTCATAAAAGAGCTTACATCATGACATTCTTCTTGGTTCGCAGACACGCAGCATGTACAAAGTGGTACTCAATGAAGACCCTCTCTTACCTGTTGTAATGATACTTACGCACGCTTTAAGACCAGCTTTGTCATTCTGGGCACGAACTGTAATACTAAGGTGACACAGTCCGTTCTTCCTCACATTTTATGGTGGATTTAGTAAACGGCTTATACAACTGATGCAAATGGGCTTTTGAATGCGTGGTCTCAATCCAATGCTGCAGACTTTACTTGTACTAAACTACGGTGCTATTACTTTGCAGACAAGCGCATCAAAATACGTGCATAAGGGGTCCCGTCTAGTGCAGCATAGCCAAGCTGATGCCAGCAGTGCAGTCAGGTTAAAGCTGGTCGCCCTTTATTTCTCAAATAGCCGCATAAATTGGATGGCTATGTTAGCATTCGTAAATGGATCAATTAGCACTAGAAACCGATGCCGCTTCTTGAAAGTGTAGCCATGGTGTGAGCAACCAGCTATAGAGTTCCATCCTTATATGTAGAGGATTACGTATGAAAAGGTTAAGGTCTGCGCCGTAATGTGTTTAGATAATTATCCTCGCCCGCGAAACATGCTGCTGCCAACGTTGACGATGCATCCCGAGACATCATTATACTGATCGACAAGGGCGATCGGTAGACAAGCTACACGCTATGACTTGAGAGAAGTCATACTAGCAAGTACGCCCCAAGGTACGTACTCTGCAACAATGAGATCGTAGACTCCCAAGTGAAAAGCAACCAATACAAGCATTGACTTAAACAAGTTGGATCATGACCCAGAACTTTTACCAGCACTGTAACGATTGACGAGAGCGTCACACTAATATTGTGAAGGTAGTGGCTACTTGCCTAGGCAAAAAATGTACATGCTCTTCTATTGTAGCGTTGACGTGCGTGCCACAGCAACACTTTCGGGCATACAATATTTTTGCTACGGACGGACCTTATATTTTCATATCAAGACGTTAAGAACAGTGCAACACGGAGCCTAGGACATCTACAGATGATGGACAAGACTTTAGCTCGAGCAAATCGCCATAATCCCAAAGGAGAGACGACCGAATAAATCCGAACGAGTTGTCGCTTGCTGAGCGATCTCGATTACCTCGATGACGCCATACAGCTCTGACTCTCTGGTTTCGCTGCCATGACTACAACCCCCCTTCCGACTTTTTACCTACGTCTCTGCCTTAGGCAATCTTGACGCTGTTTGGGTCGCTCCCATGCTCTTTAAACGGTCCCCTGGAATTGTGCGCATATTCACCATAGATTAAATGCGAAACATGAATGTATAATGCCTGACGAGAAGCACGTCAATAGAGCTTTTGAATCGTTCGACTTCATTTACTCTAATGTATAGTCAATAGGGAGCCTACAATATTAAAAACGTGGTATTAGCCTCAGCGCGAGGCAGCATCATCGATTGCCAAAGCAAAGACCATAAGTAGTGGCAGCAAGCAGTG